TTTTTATTTGTTTAAAGCTTACTTTTGTTATTTTTTGTTTATATATTTTTAGATTTGTCAAAACTTGTCTTAGATCTGGTAATTGATTAAGAAAAATGTGCATAGACCTTTTAAGGTAATTTCATTATTAATTTATATGAATATTTGTATTTAGAAAATATTTATTTTATTCTTTGACAACTAATTAAAGTTTTGATCTTTTTAACATCTAAGAAATAACGAAAAATGTGCACCAAAGCTATGGGATTCATTTATAAATAGTGTTGTTAGAACTTGAAATGTCCTTTAATTAGCTTGATTTATGTTTTTTATAAACTTTTATATCTATTTGCCAACTTGGAGTGTCGTTAGCTTATTTTATGTTTTGTATGAGCTATTAACTCAATTTGTCAACTTAAAATGTCTTTTATATTTTGCACCAAAGTTATGAGAGTTATATTTGCTTGATTTGCTTTTTTAAGTTAGTTTGTTGACACTTGAAAACTTGTTTATGTGTTGAAATGACAATTATTATGTATTGTTGGCTTTGTTTGTTATTTGATATATGTTAGAGTAATACTTTTTAAAACATATTGTTTAATTTATTTTGATTAAACAAGTTTATATGGGTATTTATTTGTCTTTTTTCTTGTAAAATGTTGTTGAAATTATTAAATTCTTTAATGATTTAGTTTGAATGATGTGTGAATTTGAGTTATATTGGATTAAATTTGCAGCAAATAATTATTCAAAATATGAGAAAAAATGATGAAAAATTCAATTATTTAACCGAACTAATTTTTGGTTGGTTCAATTAAATCGATTATTTAAAATTTTGTTGGTCAGTTCGGTTACTTGTAGAATAAAAGTCGATTAATTCGGTTATTACTTTTTTTAAACTGAACCAACTAAACTGACTGATTGCTAACCTCTATTCGAAAGAGTTTATACGCATAATATCCTTTTTAGTCAAGTAAGTAGCATGGTAGAGGTTTTAAGAGTAAATTAGAAATTAAAAAAAAAATGGTTTTGTGAGAAATTGTGTTTTAGGATGTTATTATTTTCATTTTTATATGCTTGATGAAAACCTTAAATCTTTATCAATTAAAATATTAAATTTAATTTTAACAATGCTAATTCAATTATTAATAACTTTAAATAAAAAATTAAACCTTTGTTGTACCTTAAGTACTTAATAGTCATTAATCATGTTAATGTAAATCAATTACAAAATTAGTTAAAAAATCACGTGTTAATAAAATATTAATAATTTATTTCAATAATTCTCCCAAACATAAAAAAAGTAATTTTTTTATTATTTTTAGGATTGTAAATAAATCGAATATGAATGAATAAACGTATATCTATAATTTATTTGTTTATTTTTAGAAAATGTTCATGTTTGATAAGAAAATTACTTTATTCATTTATGTTCATTCGTTAAATAATAGGTTGTTGGTGTTCGATTCGTGTTTGTTCAATTAAATTAAATGAGCTCGTTAGTGAACATTAAACAAACATGTTCACGAATATATATAAACAAACATATTCATAAATAATAAACAAATCATAATTAAATAATTTTAAACAAACCTTAAACAAACATAAATTAACCCAAACAAATATAAATAAACCTTAAAATAGGATTAAGGTAAATGATAAAAATATAATTCTATTAGTATTATTATAAACATATAGCAAACGAACAACAAACAAATAATAAATGAATAAGTTTGTTTACGAATATATATGAACCAAACATACCTCTATTTGTGTTCAATTCATTTAATAAATGAATATAAAAATATTGTTCAAGATCATATGTTAAACTTAATAAATGAATAGAAACTGAATATATTCACGAACAATTCATTGAAAGTTCCATTCGTTTACACCCCTAATTCTTTATAACATTACAGTGACAGAGAGGTTACATTTTCTTATTCACATTTTTTTCTTTGGTAAGTTGAGACATTTTAATAATGTATAATAATCTCAATATTGCATTTGGTCATGTTGTAACGTATAGATCCCTAGACCTATAACTAGATTTAACTTTAAGGAATCGTCACCAATTTTTTTATTAAATGTGATTGGCCATCTAGGTGAATCTATTCTTTTTAAGGATGTTCTAAATTTGATTAAGAGTCTTAAAAGAATATGTTTCAATCTATTAATCAAAACAAGATTAAGGAGTTTAGTTACATATAAGGAATGTTATAATATTTCACATGCTCATTCAAAAGACAATATCATTTAATTTTAAATTATCCTAAAGATTTTTAGTTATAATGGTCTTTTATTAAATTTTGGTATTTAAAATATTAAAAATAACTTTTAAAATTTCTCCATCAATCTAATAGAATTTCTAAACATATTTTATCACTTGAATAGTATTAAAAAATCACATTTATTTTTTTAAAAAGACTATGTCGTCAAACAAAGGCTTAACCATTTATTAAATTTTATTTTATTAAAAATATGTTTAATTATTCCACAATTCGGATCAAAATTATAAATACTTTTTCACCTAAAATTTTCTTAGATAATTATTCATTTGTGATTATTAAAAATTTCATCTTAAGATCTTATTTTTTATTTTTAAATTTTTTACTATTTGGGTCAAATTTAGAAATATCTTTATTGGAATTTAGGTTCTTACTATTAAACTTTATTTGTTTTATATTTCTTAATTTTTAAAATGAAAATAAAATGTCAATTATTGTTTGAAATCTCTTTCAAATTCTTTCACTATTTAGGTTAAATTTAAAAAAGATTTTTACCTAAAAATCTCTTAAAAATTCAACCATTCGAGATTTTGTTGGGATTTCATCATTGGCTAATTGTTATATATTTTTAAACAAATTTATAAGTTATTTTTTATTTTTGATTTGAAAATGAATGCAATTATTTTTATTGAAATTTGTGTAAATTATTCAATCATTTGAACTAAATTTAGAGCAAACAACTCATAAAAAAAACTTATCATTTTTTTATAACTTTATCATGGAAATTATTTCCATTCATTTCTAAAACCTAATTAAAAACTATTTAATTGTACCAATTGGCTTAAATTCTCACATTTACTTAATTAAAATTTACTTGACTTTTTATCACCTTTTCTTATGCCAATGCATTTTATATATTAAATATTTTCTAAAGATATACATAATAAGAAATAATAAATATATGAAAAGAAAAAAAAGTAAACGAATGTTAGGAAAGAAAGGAAATGGCAACACCAGGGCAGATTTGAATTCTTGATTTTTGTTTCTCCCAGTGAGCTTGATACTAGTTGTTGAATCAACAGGTTGGACAGACTAGAAGCAAGCTATGCAACGAGTTAGGCTACCTATTCCTTTTTTCCTTTTTGTTTCTTTAATAATTCCAATCCCAGCAAAACAGCTCGTTTTAAATCCTCTTTACCAACCTAAAGTAAAACTCAGATTTCATATGCACTTATTTCCTTCTACAAGAAATGGCGCCTTTCTCTGCCTCTCTCTAGAAAATCCACAAGCAGATCTCAAGACATCGACGGCCTTAGAGCTATCGACAGAATTTTTATTTTTCCTGTACTGCTTGTTGCTTGTATTCTCTGTTATTGTGACAGACTTTGGGTTAATTATCATGTTTGTATTTTAATTGTTTATTGGGTTTTGGGTATTTCTTATCTTGTTGATTTGTTGATTTTGGTGGTAGGTGCACTGGGTATAGGTAGCTGAGTGAACGTGGGTTAAATGGCTGAAATCAAGTAATCCATAGTGATGTAGGCCTTCAGGTCTGTGATCTCGGTGAGCGATATTCTAGGCTGGCTGGGTTGTTTATACGTGTGCTCCTAGTAGGGTTGTTGGTAGCTGAGTGTGACTGTTTTGATGATTGGATCAATGATGGTTTGGTTTTTTGGCTGATGGCTTTTTCTCCGAGGATCACATGATTTTTGTGTTTTTCATGAAGATGAGTCCATTTACAAGGCAAAAGTCAAGAGAATTTTAGCTCAATCAGAATTAGAAAATTTTCAAGCTAGGAATCATCATCACATCCATCCTAATACCTCTCAATCAGTTTTGATGAGGATTATCATCAAAATAACGCCAGCTAAACTTTTAAAACTTAAATCTTCTTTTTTTTTTTCTTTTTTTAGATCAACTATAATAAGAAAATAAATAAGATAAAATAAAAATAAAATAAAAATAGAATAAAGAAGAAAGATAAAAATAAAGATATATAAAAAAAACATAAAACATATTTATAAATATAAAAATTAAAATTAAAAAAAATAAATAAAAAGAGATAAAATATGAAATTGAACCTTAAGATTTTAAATTAAATCAAATTTAATTAACTTAAACTTCGAAATAAATAAGATGCCTACGCTAAAAAAAATCACAATATTACATGTATAAGTTAATAAAAAGCATTTGACTGAAATGCTAAATATACGTATTTAGCCAAAAAAAAATTTATTTTAACTTTAAAAAATTGTAACTTGTAAATTTTTGTCAATAAATTTAAATATCATAATATTAAAATTTAGACCTTAGTCAGCACTAAATTTGATCGACGAGGTATCCACGTAACCAATGGACCCCACACGAGATCAGAACAACCGTGATTTCGCTAAATTATCTGGGCTGGTGGGCCCAACTCTTGAAAGTCACTGGGGTCAAAAGACAGTCAAGAAAAGGGAAAAATTAGCGGGAAATAGGAGTGACGTGTACAACTTCCGCATAATTGTCCACTCCCTTGGATTTCCGAGAGGGCTTTTAGGTTTTGACCAAACGGTTTCCGTTGAGCAAAGAATGCCGAGCCAAAACACTCTCTCACAGAAACAATGAAAAAAAGAAAAAAAACAGAGAAAAATTCTTTCTGGCCTCCCTTTGGTTTCTTCCTTATTTTTTTATCTCTTTTCTTTTACCTTTTCCTCTTCCCGTTTTTCCACCAAGTAAGTTTCAAATTCACGTAAAAGCTTTTTTGCTTTTTTTTTTTGAAAATTTTTTGTGTTATTTTGGTTTGAATTTGAGTTTTGTAATTGTTTTTGTTTGTTTAAATGTTGTGAATGAGCGATATTGTTGAAATTTATGAGTACAAGGTTGGTGCAGAGGCAGCTGATCCTTTGGTTTTGTAACCTGTTTGGGATGTAATTTTTCTGATTGTCAGAGGATTATGGCTACCAAAAGGGATGAACCATCTCAGACACAACAGGTTTTGATCAATCTCTTTCTATTTTATTGCTTTAATTTTCTATCTTGTTTATAGAAGAAACCTTTTATATTCAGAAGCAGAAAAAGGAAGAATTACATTTTGTGTTTTTAACGGAGATTTTACTTTTTTTTTTTTTATTTTGTGATCAGAAAATGCCTAGTAAAAAGGAAGAGCCGTCTCAAGCACAACAGGTTTTGGTCAATCTCTTTTTCTTTTTCCCCCTTTTTCTTGTGTTAATTTTCTATTCGTTTTTAAAAGATTTTGATTTCAGAAAACAGAAAAAAAAAAAAAAAAAACTACGTTTTGATTTAACGGAGATTTTACGTTCATTTTTTTAATTTTATTGATCAGAAAATGCCTAGCAAAAAAGAAGAACAGTCTCAAGTGCAACAGGTAGGTTGTTTTTCTTTTATTATTATTTTTTGTTTTTAATTATAGTTTTAATGAAAGTTTGCACTGAAAATTATTTTCTGTTTTATTTCTCATTGTTTGCAGAGGATGGCTTCCAAAAAGGAAGACCCCTTTCAAGGACATCAGGTGTAAATCAATCTTGCTTTCTTTTCTGATTATTTTTTAAGGAAAGGATTTGAACAATCAGGGTACAAAGAAAACCTAAATTCTGATTTTTAAAGGAGATTTTGTGTTGAAAATAATTTTTGTTGTCTCTTAAGGGAGATGCTGCAGTTGCTGCTTCTGCTGCTCCAGATACAACCGGTCCACCAGGCCCGCCAGATCATCTGAATTCTCGTGCTGGCATCTCGGTAAACTGCTCTCTCTCTCTCTCTCCTACTAATTGTTATTTGCTATTCTGAATCTGAACTGTTGATTGAAAATTGCACGAATGCACGTGACCATTCATTCCCTAAATTACCTTGCATACATCTTTATCATCATTGAAATCCAGTTTACAATCATCTTCCTACAACTTGTCTACATCTTATGGGCTTGGGATTTCAACCAAAAGTTTTGAACCATTTTGTGGAAAGATTGCCTGTATAGCAGTTATTTTCTTTTGATATTATCAAGCTTATTTTAGCTGTTACTAACTACATTAAGCTTAATCCTAGACTCTTTAGTGACCATGAGGAATTTGGATGCAAAAGAATGAACTCTGTTTTGTATTTTGAGTCCATTGCTAGATTTTACCCTTCTGAGATCATTGCTTACATTGTCCTGCATTCTCTGTTTCTTAAGCATGCAATTTACGAAGTTGTAAAAGTTAGTACATTTTAAGGTTTAAAACTATCCTGCAGGTTTTAAAGAGTGGGCCACTTTTTTTATCATCCAAAGGTTTGTTTATTTTGTTTAGTTTTATTACCCTTTGCAATTTAATTCTGTTACTCATTTGCCTTTCACCTTATGTTTTATGAAGCACAACCTCTACTTACATTTTACGAGAAAAATATGCATTATGACGTTTATGTTGAAAATCACCGTCCCAGGATAATGGCTTGGATTCCTCTGGGTTATTTTTATCTACTTTTTGCCCCTATTTTTCTTTGATTAAAGGAATTGGATGGACATCATGGAAGAAAAGGTGGTTTATTTTGACACATACTTCACTAGTTTTCTTCAGAAGTGATCCAGTAAGTACTTGCAATCTGGCAGATTGTCAGTCTCAACATGGATGCATGTGCTTGTTTATCAGTTTTTTACATCCTCTGTTGCTGTTTTCTTGGTGTACAACTGAATGATCATAGAGAAACAGTAGTAACTTAAAAAAAAAAAAAAACAGTAAAGTGATATGAGGTTAAACAATGTGGTGCTGTTTTTCTTACTCTACTAGATTTTAAGACCCTCAGGGTCAGGGATGATGCTAATTTGCTACGATTATCTTTTATGTGCACTAACTCTTTATCAAAAAGACGAATGAAAATGAAACTTTTGTGTCTATCTCACGCAGCGGGTCTTGTCACTGGTTTTACTGTTTTTAGCTTGTCCTCGGACAGACTAAATAAGAATATCAGGATATTGTCATGCTACATTAAGCCTAAGGAAGTTGGGAAACATGACCTAAAAATTAAGTCATTAGTGCAGCTCTAAAGTACTTATCAAGGAGAAGTGAATGCTAATTTAGAGTGATCCATTAGCAATTTGTACAGATTTAAATTTTTAGTGTAGTAGAAATGGTTGTTTTGATAAAATAAAAGAGATGGTTGTTACTAAACACTGCTTAATTTGACAACTATGGTACTATAATTTGATATATCAATTCGTTCGCCAATTCTTCTTTGGTTCTCCAGCAGAGTGAGTCTAGAGATGAAAGATGGGAAGTATTAGATAGGTCCTCCTGATGTTGGGCCTCTTCTACAGGGTGTGATATTTGAGAGGTTCAGCACGAAGAATAATATAGAAAAATGATTTAACTATTGCTTGGGTTGAGGAAAGGACTTGGGTTTGGATAATGGGAAGAACTCTACTGTGCATACCATGAGGAAAAAATAAAAATCTAGATGGGTTGATATTTATTGTTTAGATTTTATAATTATCCTGGTGATGTCTTGTTCTCTTCTCTCCACATTCCATGCACTAGTCCATTTCTGACTGCATTTTTCATACTTAAGGTCTTAGAAGATTAATGTACTATTATTTTGCTTCTCAGAATGCCATTTCTCAGAAGGGGAATGAAGTGAATTTAACTCTTGGCAGTATTGATCTCAACAATTCAGGCAGGTTGGCTTGCTTTTCTGAATTGATTATGAATTCTTGATCTCTTCTTCAAGTTGCAAATATCATGAAAGTTGAAAGCGTTTACTAACTCATGGCACCTTCCAAAATTTCTAGTGTGGTTGTCAAAGCTGATAAAAAACTCATAACTGTACTATTTCATGATGGCCGCGATGGACGAACCTTCACACTCAAGGTGCTTCCTCCCACTCTCTATCTATAATTTCTCCTTTGATTACATTTGTTACTGTTTTGGGTCATACCTCTAAACTGTTTAGTTGAGTGGGTTTTCAGATTCATGAATCTTCAGTTTTATATGTTCCTTAGCTTGATAAATAGTTATTAGCTTTCTGCTTGAATGGCATTAATATCAAGCTTCTGCTAAAACAGTAAAAGATCTTCCTCTTATCTTAAGACATCCAAATGAATCTAACCAAGACTGAGCTTTAATGAAAAGCTGAAGACCTGAGCAACTGACATCTGTGTGTTATCAGGATGCCTAAACAGGAAAATTTCATCTTTGGTATCGAAGCTTTATTCAAGTCGTCAGTCTATACCCTGCTGATAGCATTCTTTTATCTTGTGAAACCCACTAATAATAACTGTTTTGGCCACATATCTGGTTTTGAAGACAGAAATGCGTAGAGAAAAGCACTGATTATGTGTCTATCTGGTTATGGGAGAATTCAATGCTTAATCAAATGGAAAACAGTGAGATTTTATGAAAATCAGATGACATTATGGTTCTTTTTGTTCGTGTCGCAGGCTGAAACTTTGGAGGATTTATATGAGTGGAAGGCTGCACTTGAGAATGCTTTGTCACAAGCACCAAGTTCTGCTCATGTGATGGGACAAAATGGTATCTTCAGGAATGATAAAGCAGAGGCAGTTGATGGTTCTAAGGAACCAGGTAAGGTTCTGCTGCCATATTTTTTGAGTGTTGTGTAACTTTGCACTAAAATATATACTGGGGCATTATTCGTATCTGGACTCCTAATTTAAACACTGGAAATAATGCATGATCTATAAGTTCATTTGTACTATGAAACAAAATCAGAAAAGTTCAAGCATTTTACAAATTAGCAGCCTTAGTTGTCAGTTCCTCTTATTCTTTTTTCACTGTGCCTTCCTTTCTTCTAGTTTTCCTTTACCTCTTCACTCTGTTGTGTTATTTTATAAGCCTGTTGAGTTGTTTCTTGAATGTACAAGTTAGCAGGTTTCTAACTTGGTTGGCTGTTTCGATTTATTTTTCCTCTGATATGAGGTATTGATGCTCTTATCTTTCTCTTTGTTAGTGAATAATAAACAACCTATGAGATCTACAGTTGTAGGCAGACATGTTTTGTTTGCACTGGAAGATGTTGATGGATCTCCAACATTTTTGGAGAAGGCCCTAAGATTTATAGAAGAGCATGGTGAGTTTTTCTTTTGTATTAATTGTTGCAATTTCATTCAAGTAGTATGCTAAAGTTCTAATTCCATATAATGGGTAACTCTCTAATGCCTATATAATCTAGTGAATATATGTGCATGTGTGTTTTTATTCATTTACCTTTCTTGAGATACCCATGTTCTGGATCATCTTCCTGCACCACTGCATGTGTCTAAACTTTTCTTTGTTTTTGGATAAATGTTATTTTATTCATCCAAAAGAAGCAAGATAAACTTGCTTCAAAACTCCAGTTGCTCATGCAACTAACAGTCCAAATGGATTAAAAAGAAAACAGACTAAGTCACTTAATTCAAATCCCAGGAGCTACACAATTCTGATTCCTTGGGGTTGATGATTAATTGAGAAAATTGCCAAGCTTAAGCTGAATGGACTCCCTAAAGTAACTATAAAATCAGGGCGATGTGAAGGACATCCAACTCTGTTCTGATTCCTTTTTTTCCAAATGAATTATATCTGAGCTGTCCAAGCAAGTTTATGACTAATGGTGGCTAGGGACTTGCCACTGAGATTTCGATTGGCCCATTGCAATTCCAAGGACCAGTATCCAATCCCTCTATTGATACCAGACATTTGGAGGATGGCATTCCAAACTTGCTGTGAAAAAGAACAGGAGAAGAAAAGATGGTCACTATCTTCCAGTGCAAGGTCACAGAACACACAGTCAGTGCGAGTAATAGAAGAATTATTCCAGAATCTAAACTTTTCTTTATCTTGTTTCAAGATTTTTCCATAATGTTCACAATTTTAGTGGCCTCTGAAGCTGTGGATGTGATATGTTACTGTTCAATGATTTAAGTCTTATGGCAAAGCACTGTTATTCATGTTCTTTGAGCTACTTTTGATCATGTTAAAATAATTTAACAGGAATTAAAGTAGAAGGGATCTTAAGACAAGCTGCAGATGTTGAAGATGTTGAGCGCCGAATTCGGGAATATGAACAGGGTAGACACAATCTGTCCCTGACTATATTCTATATTCTGGTTTTATTTTTGACATTGGTTACAGCAACCATAGGTTGTGTTCTTTTGTTATAATTTCTGTGGATTTACACATTCAATATTTAATGTTTGGCTGTAAACAATGCTATCAACGATAGCTTCATAAAACCATAAATTTTAATTGATATTCATGTAAGGAAGATTCTTTGCTTATTGAATAGGACAGAGGAAGAAGCCAAAGCTACTCTGCATACTTGTAGTTCTACATTACTGTACTTTCTGTTCAGTCTTCTTCCAACTCTTTTGGGTCATGCTTTTTTTATGCAGGAAAAACTGAGTTCTCTTCTGAGGAGGATGCACATGTCATTGCTGATTGTGTCAAGGTATGCCTTATTTCCATAAGATTCTTTCATTTAAGTTACAGCATATACTGCTCCTGGTACTTTGTTGTTTAATCTCCTTCATGCCATTTTCCAGTATGTCATTCGAGAGTTGCCATCATCTCCTGTCCCTGCATCATGCTGCAATGCACTACTAGAAGCATGCCGTAAGTCTTTCATTTAAGTGCTTTTGTTTCTGCTATCTTACAATGTAATAAATTAAGTTCATAACAAGCTTCACCAAAACTGGATTCTTGATGCCTCTAATTTTAAAGGGAAATATGTGTTGCATAATCCCTATTGGAGTTAAGTATACTGTGCTTTATTATTCATTAATCTAAGTAAAATAGGAATTTCATGTGCTGGGTTCTTGTTTAAATCATCCATTGGATGAAGGTCTTGCATTCTGAATTGGTTGGCTCCCAGATGGATGCGGTGGTAATTGTCCAGTTGAATATCATTGAGCTCTATGACATTGCATTTTGGATGATTTAACTATCTGTATGATTTTTGAAGATTTGGTTTTGTTGTTATTCTGTTATTGGACATCATAAAATAATTAGGAACTGAGCGTGGTGGTAGAGTCAATGCTATGCGTGTGGCAGTATTGGACACGTTTCCTGAGCCAAACTATCGCTTATTGCAGAGGTAGTTGATTCATCACTTCACTCTTTGCTATGTTTTATGCTTTTCTTAGTACAAGTTATATTTGACATACAATTTGTGTGTTTATTTCCTGAGCTTTATGTATGCATTAAGAAGAGAGCTTTATATTTTATGGAGGTTAAAGAAAGAATATTTTTATAGTACAGATTAAATGATATGCGGACAATGTAGATATGCTATTGTTGATTAAAATTATGCAATTAATGTTCTTTCGTACAATACAATTATTAATATTTTTTATCAAAATTAAAAAAAGATCACGTGCAATTAACAGTCCATTCATGTATATAATTAGAAAACCACATTAAAATAAGTCATAATTGAAAATGATATAGAATGATAAGTGTTGTGAAAATAAATGCGAAAAAAAGGGTTTTTGTCTTCACAGAAATTTCTCAGCTATTAAGCCACTTCTGTATAGAGTAGAGATGGATATGAGGAATTGTTTTTCTTTGTTGGCCTGTGGTTGATTGAATTAATTTTGAAAGTCATAATTCAGTTACGTTTACATTGTTTCTTTTTGATTTCTTGACAATTTTCACTTGCAATTCTCATTTTATCTTTGGAACAGATGGGAAGGGGGCCAAATTCTTCTTTTCTTTTCATTGTAATTGCACTTTTTATTTTCTTTGAAATTTTTTCATATGATTTGTTTGGGTGCATGAAAATTTTCACCCAAACTGGTTGATTGCCACAGATTCTCGTTGCTATAACAAGTTTTAGTGTGAGCAACCCTCTGATATAAGTCTTGGTTCTTGCAAAATGGTTGAGTGGGTAATTGGAAATATTATCTTTTAGAAGACATAAATGTAGAAACTGCAATCAATAATTCTAGCACACCAGAACTTGTTGAATAATGTAAAATTTTCACTCTAAAAGCAGAGTGTATCTCTTAACTTTCTATTAGTTTTCAGCAGTAAGATGATTATTATTGAAAAATTATGAGTGAAATGACTTGAGAATGCTTTTCTTCTCGTAGCTACAGGCATTTTGAAAAAAAAAAAGAGATTCGATCCTACTTCCACAATTAAAATATCACCCTAATTCTTAGCCATCTTGGCTTCTACTTGCCTTTATCCATATTTATCTGTTTTATTTTCCTTTCTTTCAGAATTCTAATGATGATGCAAACTGTGGCTTCTAACAAAACTGAAAATCGAATGAGCTCTTCAGCCGTGGCAGCATGCATGGCTCCCTTGCTTCTTCGCCCCCTTCTATCTGGTGACTGTGAGATTGAAAACGATTTTGATGTGGGTGGTGATGGTTCAATTCAACTGCTGCAAGCTGCTGCTGCAGCCAATCATGCTCAAGCTATTGTTATTACATTATTGGAAGAGTATGATCAAATATTTGGGGTAAGCTGTAATTATTGTCTTCCTTTCACACTGCTTCTGATACAACTTTCTGTTGTCACTGTACAGACAAGTATGTACCCTTAAATTTATGAGCTGTAGTCAAAATTTTTTTGTATTGTCCTGGTCTGTATGTGCTATTAATGGTACAGAATCTAAAGTAACTAGATTATGACTGCCTTATGGTGGAATTTGAATAATGTTAAGTCATTATATCCTCTTATAGAACTGTATATACTGTCTACTTGTCCTTCCTATTTATACAGCAATTACCCTACATTCTTTCCTTACAATGCAAAAAAATAAATGTGAGAGCAATCGTAGCAGAGCTAATTGAATATTTCTAAGTCTTTATAGTATAAATAGGGGTCCAGTTAACGAGTGCCTATAGGCACTGGTTAAGGGTAGTTAAAATACTATTTAAGGAAAGGTTTTTGCATTTAATCATTCTTTTTCACTAAATTCAAAAGCAGATAATGCATTCATTACATATTTCTTTCCTCAAATTTCTCCTTAACTAGTGCCACTAGGTGATGGTTAACATTTACCCTTTTATGATATTCTTGAAAACATAAAAAGATGAGAAATTTTGCTGTTCTTTTTCCATATTCCAATCTTTTATTGCTTTGGCTTGGATTTGGTTTTTGCATTGTGACTATGAGTTCAGCATTTTGTTGGCAGGAAGGTTATGTTTCCCCTGATTTATACTCTGACACGGAAGAGAGTGGAAGTGAAAGTGAGGAGGCAACTGATGATGATGAGTCCTATGAAGATGATGAAGATTATGAAGATGATGAATGCGATGATGCCACACAAGCATCTGATGCATACAATGATGATGAGTATGAAGCAAGTGGAACAGGCAGCGAGAGTGGTCACTCTGTTAACAATGATCTGGATGATGATAGGGCTTGTTCTTCTACTTTCTTACAATGGCATTTACATTTTTATATTTTGTTCATAAACTTTAAAAATGATGGCAGCAACAAACTTAATACAAATTTTGGAACAGTTAAAGCTTTCTTCTCCATATTTCATTTACCTCTCTTTAATGCTTGAAATGCGCTGAGCCCATAGTTTACCAGATTTATTTGCTCGATCTACATGTTTTAATGATTTTATAGCTTTTATATCTGTTCTCTTTGTCACCATCAGGCAACTCAATGTTTCTATTGTCTCCATGTCTTTGTTTGTTTTCCCCTTAGGATTTATGCTCATAATATGAACTTGATTTACTGCTGAGCAAAATGCATTCTAAATCAACTTTGCAGCATCATATAGCAGAATCAGTGTATATGATTCTCTCTTTTTTCACCTTATAGGAATCATGATTTGTTCTCCTTTGCTATTTTTAATTGGTAAGGGGCAGCTTGTTATCATGTAGCCTTGTGGCTGTTACATTCTGTGGTCCCTCGGTTTTGACTTTGAGAATTGTTTCTTTTTAACTTGAAAAAGGTGAAAAGAATAAATCAGTAACAAAAAGATGATGTTCTATACTTACATGAACTAAAAAAAAAATTGCAGGATTCTGATTATTCGAGCTCAGGTTCTGAGTCCGTAGCCTGTGATGCTTTAAAAGCCACCAAGAAGTTTTCAAGTTCAATTCACTCTTCGCTGTCTGAAAATGATGATTTAGAAAGGAGTGACAATAATAAGAGAAGCAATATTTCTGCAATGGAGACCAATAAATATGCTCAGCTGTCCAAAGGTGTTCAGGAAGTAACCAAGGTGGAGGATAAGTTAAATCATGATAATCAAATCTCATGCATCCCAAAATCCGCATCTATTGGAAATGGACCTGGCCACGATGTCATGCGTTCCACTGTTTGGGGACGTACTGCTGTAAGTGTTTGTTTCTGCATTTATAATGTGTTATGCTTTTGGCCTAGTTTGTTTGGCTTTCTCTCTTGGCTAATAAGCATTTCCAAGCGTGCATTCTAGCTGTTGCAAGTTACCTGAGATTTTAGCTTACAATTGCTCAAGTTGGTTTCTGAGTTTATAATCTTGTAGTAACTAGTTATTTAATTTATCGGGTTTGCTTGTCCAGGCAAAGAAGAACCTTCCTATGGAATCCATTGATTTTCCATGTGAAGAAGAGTAAGTGATGTTCCCTTGATCTGTATAAAGAAACCTTGTAAAAGTTTGCCTGCTACTAGTTTTCCTGGTTATTCTTGCATATAGCATAGAGGACCCAATACCCACTAAAAGTTCCAACCGCCTTTTAAAGTATTCTTTATGCTTAGGATGAAGCAATCTATACTTTGTATAACATAATTTTTGAAGCCAAAAGGGAAATTGCAAAAACAAAATAGAGTCAGACCTTTCTATGTTGTTGATATTAACTCTATTTTCTGTTTGACTTACCTAATTTTGACCCAATTTAGGGCTGAAATAGAGACACTTGAGGCTGCGAAATCTGACTTGCAAAAGAGACTCACAGAAGAGGTTCTGCTAAATCCACCCTTTCTAATTATTGTTATATCAACTTCTTTGGAGTCTTTTCATAACACATCATCTTTCTAGTATAGATTGAAGGTAATTCCATTCTTGAAGCTAGCTTGGAAAAACGAAAGAAGGAATTGCATAGGCGTCGTCTAGCTCTTGAGAAAGATGTATGTTAGTCAGGAGATTTTTTTTTCAATTCTTTTTTGCCCTGTCTTTTCTGTTTCATGCATTAAGTTAGGTTATGTGTCAGCAACAAAGATGCATATTGCGATGTTGAAAAAATATGTATTAAAGGCAACGTATTCACTTGATATTTTAAAAGTTAGTTAGAGATCTGTTTATGCATTAATTTCTTTCTTCCCTCTTCAATATCAATTATTTTGCAAATGGAATAGCTAAAAAGAAGTCCAAATTTAGGTGCATGAAAAGCATATAACTGCATTGTTTTTCATTTTGATCCTTCTTGTTACCGCAAAAACTCCTATTCATATGACAAAATCCTTGTGCAAATTGGTTGTTCTTATTAAATGTTTTTTTTTTTTGGCATGCTACGCAACTTTTTCCATTTTTCTCTAGCAGAAAGAGTTGGATTGAATCAGCAGTGAGTAGATGGCAAGGTTTCAACGAAGTGCACAAAAATACTTATAGAGTGAACAATTATATGTTTGCTGGAAGCATTAATACATATAGAGTGAACAATTATTTGTTTGCTGGAAGCATACATTTGTAATATGAAAAAACTTTTTTTTTTTTTGTTTTGTTAATGCATGGAATTTAACATTTGTATTTGCATTTATATGTTATTCATTAGTTAGTTGCACAAAGCTAATGGTTTTTATGGCCAATACCGTGTTAGGCTAATGATAACGGCCCAGTCTTGATTGTTCCTCTTGATTGTACTTATAGGTAGCAAGATTAGAGGAAGAGTTGCAAAGGGAGAGAGATAAGAGGACGGCTCTGGAAGCAGGACTTAACCCACCGCAAGGACTCGTATTTCTCCCAGCTACAATTGATGAAAAGGTAGCCAATGGCCTAACTCAGATTTAACTAGTATATGTAATCATTATTTTGCATCAAATTTTAACTTGTGAATATGATAAAGACAAAGGCAGATCTCAAGGACATAGCTCAAGCAGAGGCAGACATAATCAATTTGAACAAAAAGGTTGATGATCTGGGGATGCAGATTAATCAACAGCTTGAGCAAAATTATGTTTCCATGAATGATTCGTGCAATCGACATCAACCAAATCATCAAGCAAAAATGTAAGCTTTCAGATGGTTCTCTCTCGCAATGTAATATTTTGTTGGGTACTTGTTACAAAACATTTCTTTACTTTCTCACTTTCTGAGAGTTGAATACATGTCATCCTTGTAGTGATTCAAATTGTTTAAAGCAAAATACATCTGGAGTTGTTTGGCAATTGTTAACTTGCCAATAATTCAAGCTTCAAAACATATGATCCTCTTTAGATTTATATTTAAACTTTCATATTTTTTCAATTCCCATTCTTATCTCTTTTATGAACTTGATTTAACTATATATATGTTTGTTTTACTCTTAATACAGGAAGGATAAGCCAAAGGGTACTGATGCTGCTTTTGAAAGGTCAGGAAGCAAGGTAAACTCGCATTCATTAGAGGCAGCATGACATACTCTAGTCTCCTAGAAATTGAATGAAATTGGTTCTATTGTTTTTCTTTGATAAGAGCATTTCATTTTCTTTGAAATCCAAACCTCTACCTGGAAGTGTTTGCATTTGTTAACCTGGAAATAACATTAGTTAGCAAATTGATTTTCCTGAAAGTCATTTGAAGATAAATTCCTATGAATGGTCAAATGGCGATTAAGCCACTGCTCTTTCAGTGCATAAACCTAAATGGTTGTTGTATATTGATGTATGGAGATTCAAGATCCGACAGGCTCTAAAGGATGTGATCAGTTTTCTTTTTCCTGATGAATAACTTTATGATTGAATTTCATGTTATCTTCAGATTAAGTACGAGTTATGAACTCTAATGCAACAGAGATTTTTATTTATGAAGACACTATGTTTCATGTACAGTGATCTGAAAGGCTGTAAATTGAGCATTAGGTCTCCGAGCTTGGCTGGGTTTGTTTTCAATCAAAGTTGAGCTTGATTTGAACACCTACTGGCACTTTCTCCTCTCTTTTTCTCTCCCTCTTTTGTTTTTCTTTTTGGTTTTTTTTCATCAATGAGGTTAGCATATTGAGCATTTGCTCTGGATGCAGGCTGAGCTTGAACCTGTTAAAGCTTTACCGTTAGTCACAAGACTTTACCATGCGAATTAGCAATTATAAGATCATCACCAGCCTTTGCACCACTTTTTCTTTACCATTTATAGGTCTTCTTTCGCTAACTTAATCTGGACAATGTATTTCTAGGGATGTTCAAATTTTAGTTAAAACCCAATTAATTTGATTAATCAATCGGTTACTGAATTAATTTCACTCGGTTTTCGAAATGATTTTGGGCTCAATTTAAGATAATGAATAATCCTAACGTGTTCTCTTAGGCAGCTGCGAGTTATCTGTAAAGTCACAGCCCCTGGCAACGTGGGAATTTGTTTCATTGGAATTCACTGAACCCAGAATCTGATTTAGCAGGATAAATACGTGGACAAAGGAGAGTGCAAGAATGAGAAGACGCAGGAATGATCTTCGACAAATAAACATCCACCTCAAAACCAACAGTTAGATCACTCAGCACATAACAACAACAGTATGCATGCAGCAGAAACAGTTGCACAGAAGCCCCTTGGTTCAAGTAATTCCAAGAAGTCTACTACACAGGGTGAGGTATGTTCTATTCTATTTTAACATGACACCTTTTTATCAAACTGTAATGTAGTTTTCTAGAATTTGAACCCATCACCTTCCGAAGTTTCTGATTCAAGATAAAATTACTATGTTCACTTCATCTTAGAGAACATGTTTGTTCTATCATTCCGTGATAACTTGTCCTCATTCTTTTCAGCACATATTTGGTAATGACTGGTTTCGTTTTTAGTGGTTTAAAGCTAATCTGTTGTTCAGGGAGCCAATTCCGCATCTTCAGCACTGACAAAGCTGACAACCCGGCTCAACTTTCTGAAGGAGCGGCGAAGCTAGATTGCAAATGAAATCATGGAGAAAGGCCGAGGTTCAAATCAAGCTGTTCCAAGCTCAGATAAAGGCAAAGGACCAGAACCTATTCAATCTGTTCAAAATCCAGAAAAAGGTAGAGGACCAGACATTAGCCAATAACTCTAGATCCAGACAAAGGGATTGGATAAGAAGGCCAAAGAGTTCCATGCTCACAAAACCCCCCCCAAAAAAAAAGGAAATCGGATAACCGAACCTGGATGGAGGTAAAAAACCAGAGGCCATGGTGTCCTAGAGTACAGACAAAGCTCAAGACTAGCCCAAGGACTTACTCCAGATGATACTGGGTCGTATGCGATCTCTCAATCATTGTTTCTGCATGCAACATTGTTTATAAATCCCCTTAGGCTGATGATGGTGCTTTGAATACGGGGAAAGTTTACCAGAGAGAGGTGCTAGGAGACTGATTTTGATGCCCATACTGAGAGGAGAGGTTGATATCCCTCAATCAAGATGTACATATCAACTAGTGTGTCTTAGATGTAAGCTGAACAATTCAAAATCTTGGTGACTGATTTTTGTTGTCAGAGAAACCAAGTAGGATTGTATAGTATCCACGTGCTTTTGCAAGGGCAAGCAAAATGCAATTACAACGTTTAATTTAAGATTTCTCGGTTTATATTAATATAAGCCTGATGATGGTGAGCCGAGGATCGAACCTCTAGTCATAGATTGAGCCTTTTTCTTTTACCAAACAAAACCACCGTAAACGGCCCTTGCCTCCAAAACGTCGGCGAAAAAACAATTTAGAAAGCGCCCTAAACACTTCCCTTCTCAACGTCTTTATTACAAAATCAACCGCCCCTATGTCCCTCTCCTGCAAAGCTCGATGCCACGCGTGCCCCTATGTCCCTATCCCATTTTCCATGACCCCATTCTCAAATATCGCTTCCTTGATCTGATCGTATGTTTACAACCGTGACGATCATTGGGCGTTTCACTGTGAGGCATGAACCCGCCTTCGAAATCCGTGTAATAACATCAAAAACGCTCTTGTAATTACGGCGTTGCGTTTGTGGGAGTCTTCCGTCGGGTTGCATGCCTACCATCGCCACATCAGCTGGGTTGCTGACCACCGCTCGCATTCCGCCGGTGAGAGAAGGTCGTTTTTTGGCCTTGAAGTTGCATGCGTACTCTGATGAGGTCGAGAGGGTGAGTTGAACAGCGGCTACGACAGAAGCTACGCCGCCTTGAACAAAGCCTTTGAGACCCATGTTTTGTTGGCTAATTCAGGCCTGCAACTTGTAGTAAAGAACCATTGGACCTTGAATTGGGCTGACCCAACTCAAATACCAAAATCCCCAAGCCTTGTTTGTTACGGGAGTTTGTCATTAATGAACTTACTTACCTGCTCACCTGAGCTAGCTTTAGGCTCAAGATGCCCATTGTTCTTATTTGGTGTTTTTTGTTCTGTTTGGACACACAGCCCTTTTATTGAAAACGAAAAGACCCCTTAGGCCTTAACTGCACCTTGCCCTGAGCCTGATGTTATTACGGTGAAATGGTGATACCGGGATAGTAACATTGTATGGAGCTGAGCGAAGTTAATTTGCTTGAATCCTCGAGTTGAGGACCAACTGGATAGGTGCCATTGCAGCCTTAACTTTGTGGAACGTGTGCCAATTGCACAAACCTATTTTGTTGGACCAAATCCGTGAAAAAAGAAAAAAAAAAAAATCAACCAAAGTTCTTAGTAGATCGAGCCATCTGGTATTATTGCGTAGAAAGAACGACAACTGATATCAACCTTCTTTTAAGTAATTTGGTCAGTATCCGTTTTAGATTTCATTAACAAAATATGCACAGGACAGGATCAAAGAAGAAAACCAGGTCTTTACAGCATAATCTCACTTGCACCCCAATCTCACACGCGTCGGTTGTAACAAAATCAACGCTTAGCGCTTCCGAAGGAGAATCCTACTTCAAATTAAGGGAAGAAAAAAAAAACCCAGATTAGATATGAGCCTATGAGAGTAATGGCTTAACTTATTTCTCGTGACACCACCCATTTGGCCATTGCCATACTCCTTTGCTTTTTCCAACATCTTCCCTTATATTACTCTTTCCTGCCTCACATTAATCAAACCTCGTTGCCAGGAAAAAGTTAAATCAAAGGCACATAAAAGAGACTCGGGGAAAAGAGGAGAAGAAGAAGAAGAAGAAAAGAAAAGAAGATATCTCTTTCTCTCTCTTTCTCCCCCCTTTTCCGCCATGTTTCTTTGATCAGGGCATGGTGAAGCTGGTGTTAAAAATGTTTCGTTAAAATCATTAAGTTTTGGTATATGCAACCCATGATTGTGGAACTGGGAAAAGGTAAAGAAATGGAGGTTCAGCGGCTAAGGCAGCTGCTATTACTTTGGTCAAGAATGCAAAGTACTCGTGTGGTTCTCGTGGGTGGAAATCACACCGCTGCCCGGTTTTGCACTCGCTAAGTTTGCTTCTCCCAAATGCTTTTTTCCTCTCCCTCTCGCCTACGATATTCTTTTTTTTATTATTATTATTATTATTATTATTATTATTTATTCTGCTATTTCTATTCACATTTCTCATACAAGACCTTTTTTAATCCGTTTTTGAATCGTAGTGTTTAAGTTTTAAGCCCATTTTATCAAGAATTCCCGCCATGGCTGTCCAAATTTTTTATGGACTCCAAACCAAATGCCAGAACAAGAACAAGCCTTTGAATTATGGTGGCATTAGTTTGCCTGCTGATACACATTTGTTCATCAAGGTCCTTGATGCTAGGATTTTTAATCTTCTTGCTCGCTTAATGGTGATTTTGGCCTTGATTATTGTTTTACTTCCTTGGTCGGGAATAGGATCCATTGTCAACAAAGAATCTGCAGGCCCTGCTGATGCAATTAAGCCTAAAGTTGTCTCTGCTGATCCTATTAATCTGGACCTTTTGCCATTGCTCTTTCATGATTTGAACAGGGAAGGTATTTTGAAACAGGGAGACAAAGGACTAATGTTAAGCAATGATGATGAAGAGGCCATTCATAGTTCTCTTTTCTTGAGGAAAAGTGATATGGAATTCAGTTCTGTATCTGATTTGGAAAGACAAAGCTCAATCCCTGAAGAGTCCTTTGACTTTACCTTCACGCAAAACTTCCAAGCAGCCTCAGAATTCATTGATCGCACTCTCAAAGTTGGTGGCATTGTTGCTGTTCAGCTGAGTGGAAGTTCCTCCTATTCATTCCACAAGCCATCTAATTACAGAGTCGTCTACTTCAGGAAATTCCAGTCAAACGTTTTGGTAATGAAAAAAATTGAGAATGCTAAACCAATCTATAGCACCCAGAGGCGGCTTTTTGGGTACACATCAAAAGCAAAGAAAGCAGCATTGAAGAACCTGGAAGATGTTCTTCTTGAACCACCAAGAGCATCTTCAGGGAGATCAAAAACTTACCTGAAGCGAACCAAATACTTACCGGACCTATTGGGAGACACACTTGAAAGCTATCCTCGTCGGGTGTTCATTGATGTAGGCTTGCCAGAGAAAGAAGGTGGTAGTGGCACAGATTGGTTTGCCAAGAATTACCCTACAAGGAATCTGAATTTTGAGATGTACAAGATTGAGACTCTGACCAAAGAGTCTTCAAGGAAGGAGTTGCCAATTGTAGTGGAGATTGGGATGTCGGATTGGCTCAGGAAGAATGTGAAGGAGGCTGAGTATGTGGTGATGAAGGCAGAGGCTGAAGTGGTTGAAGATATGGTAAAGAGCAAGGCTATTAGGTTGGTTGATGAACTATTTTTGGAATGCAAGCCTGAAGGACATGGTGGAAAAAAGAACATGAGCAAAAGGGCTTACTGGGAATGCTTGGCTTTGTATGGGAAGCTAAGGGATGAAGGTGTTGCAGTGCATCAATGGTGGGGTTGAGTAAGGTTTTAACAAGCATAGAGAAACGTTTTTAAGGTGAGAGAGGTATACCATAAAAGTCATGAAAACAAGAGAAAAAAGGTAGCTTTTTCTTTGTATTTCAAGTTTGTTAATTATGTTTGATGTAATTGCCTAAATGTGTGTGTGGTTTTGATATTTCATCAAATTATTTTTGAATATGATAAGAGTTTTTCGTTTTGTTATGAAATAATTTCAAAGGTTGCTTCTTTCATCTCTTTGGATATTGTCAATGGACATTTGGTAGGGAAAATGACGGAATTCAAGAACATCATATCATCATCTTGATGATGCTTTTGATCCTTCACTTTACTATTATTGATAGTTTTGTACATTATCCTCTTTTAATTGATTTACTTTGATCATGCATTATTTCATCTCTTAGTAACCTAAAAGATGAAATTCAAAAAAAATTTCATAATTTTTCCCAACAAAAAAAAAATGACGGACAGATTATCTTCCAATCTCTAGATTTCATTTTAACTTGCCTTGTGTCCATGTTTGTCCAAAGCAAAAGAAATCAGTTTTGTACATATTTTGAAACAAGATCATATATTTTTCAATAATGAATCAAAGGGTTTGTCAGAAAAATGATTCAATAATTGGTTTTCTGATTAGACAACTTGACAATCCAATGAACCTCACCACATCTTAGAAAAGAGCTAAAGAAGGCTACAACCAGGCAAAACAGGCTCTAAAACTAGGCATGATCTCCTATAAAAAGTACAAAAACAGGACAAAGACCACTCATAATGAAGCTGCTTGCATTCCTTTTTCACAAGCAAAAACTTAAACTTACTGTTATCTAAAGCTTAGCCTTAAGCACAAGAAGGCAAAGAAAGAGCAATAATGATAAAGCTAATGAAACTAGTTACAAGCTTCACGAGCAATTCCCAAGCGAGAATTGGCCACATCAAACAGAATCCTGTAATTCTGCTGCTGCAAATTGGCTATTACATTCATGGCGGCGTTCACATTGTTTGGAACTGGTGCTATGGCCAAGCAAGCGCGTGATCCTGCACTGGTATGTAAGAGGCTGTTTTCCATTGGCAATGTCATGGACAAGCCTTCAAAATGTAATGTTATTAAAGGTGTCTCAGCTTCTGCTGTTGCGTCGAAGCATGTCTCAAATACTCCTATTCTTGAAAATGGGCCTTTCACATGCTTCACAAACTCATCTCGGATTGCCTCATATAAGGGTTGGACAAATCGGGTTACAACCGTACCCGAGTCAATTATGGTCCCCGCCCCGCTGTTCGGGTTAAATGCTAGTAATTCCGGGGCGATGGGTACCCTAACCCGGCCTACGCTGACCCCGGTTAGGTTAACGTAGTAAAGTGAGGGCCGGTGCGGGTTTTTTAGGAGCGGGGTGGTCCGAATAGTTTTGGGCTGACCCACCTGCCCGAGTTTGAGGGAACCCGAGAAGTAGTATGACTTGAAACTGGGTAGACAATATGAAAAAACATTTGAATAGAGTGCCCCGGATTGCGAAAGCAATGACATGGGCCCCCGCCCCAAACCCAAGAGTCCTTGGGATGGGACTGACCCACCAGAGATAGTGTTAATACATCCAAAAGCATAATTTGGGATAACGTCATTGGCTAATCTTAAGGAATCTTGTACCAAGTAGGCTGAGAAGGATGAATCCCCACCATAGGATTGGTTAAAAGAGCAAGCAGAAGTCCCCGTATCCGGGCATGACAGTCCACGGACCTGGGCACACTGGGGCAAGGAGCAATCCAATGAACCATAGCTTGAAGAAGTGTTGGGTGAGAAAGTGGTAGCTGAGCACCCGGTGCATCCAGAGCATGGAACCCAAGCAACATCATTGCTAGTATCCAGTACCATGAACATTAGCTGACCTGGAGTGCCAATCTTGACCCTTACGACATAGTTGCCAATGTTTAGAACCTGTTGCCCTGAAGCAATTGGAACAGGGGTGGTCTTTTGGGCCACCAGGCTGGACAAGTACTTGACTCTTGCCGAGTCTTTGGATGCCATGTTAATGACTGTGTTGAGCCATGAGTCAGGTTTAGGTGGGTTGAATGGTGAACATTTGCCATAGATTGGAATGACTGACAGGTCTGAGTTATCTGGCTGAGAGGCACAAGGGTCTAAAGCCCTGACGGTTGAGATGAGAAGAGCAAAAAAGAGGAGTGTGGCAGTGAAGTCCATGCCTCAAAGTTAGAACTTCAGCCAGGAGGTAAGTGAGGAATCTAGTGAGTGTGCATTAGAAATGAGAAGCCAAGAAGATTTTATACATGCAATTAGTGCACTTAGAATTACTGAAACAGCCTTGGAATTATGACAGGCAAGAAGCTTTTAGGTGGGTCCAAAGTGGGCCAATCAGCACGCAGAGAATAGGCCGCAAAAATTGTGTCCCTATGCGCAATGATATTCGATCATTCTCAAAAAGTAGCCCCCAAATTGCAGGGTAAACTGAGGCAAAAAGACAAGCTTTAATGCAACGAGACGGCGAGGACAAAGCAAGCCTTGAGTTTCAGTCGGCGAAGTAGATAATGCTTTAAGCTAAGCATGCCTTATCCAGTTAGATTTCCACCATCAAACATTGCGGCCCTTCTCATCCGCCGAAACATCAATCCTAACAAATTTAGACTTAGATCATGCAAGAAGCAAGTACTTCTTGAAAATAGTTTCATTAAAATAAAAATTTATACTTATTGGGGGGGGGGTGTGTGATTTGTGTATTCAAATTATGTAAAATATTAAAATTTATATATTATTTTATATAAAATTATGTATTATAATTTGTATCAATAAAAAATATATAATTTATTTTTTTAAAATTTTGTTAAACATATATATAATTATTATTAAAATTTTAAATCATATCAATTTTATATCATTTATTTATATCATATTCATATTATATCATTATATTATATTTTAGATTATCAAATTTTTCAACAGTTAATTTTGGCTATAAAACGTTTGGTTTACAGTATAGTATAGTGATCTTTTCATGCTAATTTCAAATGAAATTAATAAATTTTTTTGAAAGGCATATTTTATCTTTGATTTGAAAATTGAATATAATTTTTTATAAATTCGTTAAATTCAATATAAATAAACATGTTTAGAACAACTCCCAAATAGAATCTAAAAAAAAAAAAGGAAAATCTAAAAAATCCCTTATTGCTAAAAAAATTTTATCATGATGAATTTTTCATAGAAAAGTAGTGACCATGAACCATGGAAGAGCATGTTGGAGTGGCTTCTTAAGTCCTAACCATTTATCATTGGGTCAGTGTTAGGATTGAAAATGTGGGTAATATTGGAGGGTATTATTAGTATAAGGTGGATTAGCTGTTCAGCTCGTGAATCCCTGCTTGAGGAGTGAGGACATTGTTATTTTGTCCGTACGTAAGTTTTGCATGAGATGTGGTCGGTCACGGGCTCACCAAGAATATTTTTCCCGACTGAACCGTGGCCCGCCGTCTGAAAATTCTGTAAGATTAACATCAGCTGAACCTCAATCTGCAGATTCCAATGGAGCTAGATCTGCTGCATCTCATCTGTTGTTCATATTTTAGAATAAAAAATGCTTAATTTCTAATAAACTTTGAAAAACTGAGGACCAGACCACAAGAGAGGCTTTTTTTTTTTTTTGCACTTTTAACTCCAATGATTAGTCAGAGCTCCCCACAGCAAGCTCACGAGGTTGTACTGTTCTGAACATTACTAGTTGTTGTTGTCTTGTGAACCACAATGTTGTCTTTAATTATTGGCCAAAAAAACCAAAAAGAGTCGGAAACTTTGCCACAGACGTCAATTCCATTTGTAGACAACTGGTCGAATTTTAAAAGGAACTATACCTTGGAGTTTGGATCCTTTTCAAAAAAATATCAACAATTCAACATATTCCAACAAGATCTTTTCTTTTCTTTTCTTTTCTTTTTTTCTGTCCTTTTTGATTTAGAATGAATTTCCCATGAATTCTTCATTTTTGTTCTAGCTATCATTGGAAATTTAGTCATAAAATGCAACTAAGATGCAGTGAGAATCCCTTCACCATGCAACTAAAGGGACCCTTATTGTATGAACATTAAGTATATATCTGACACAATAATCATGAATCTTAGAAATAAAGTCAATAAAATTCAATATGAAAGTTCAGTTCATGATTTTCACTACCGAAGCTGCATTAAACCAAGTCCAAAATTTGACCTCAAAACTTCAAGATACTAAAAGTGCAAGTTTAGCGTAACAGTCAGTTTGGATCCCATCACACCTTCGGTGCAATATAATTAAATTTATCGTACTTTCAATTAAATCTAAACATTAATTTCAGTAATATCAAATCGGTATAAATTTTTCATTAAATTTTTTTTTCAATCACAATTATTTTTTTTTTTCAATCGTAACTATAATAAATTTTATCATTGTTTTTAATCTCATTGCAATCAATCTCACTATCCATCCAAATAAAACCGTAACTATAATAGGGTAATTGGAAATTAAGGCCGATGCGCCAGCAGCAGTTGAGAAAGAATATTGGAATTTTATTATGGCCTTTTTAGGTATACAGTAATAAAAACACAACCAAATAAATCAATAAGTATTAGTATAAAGATATTGCAAATTGATACAAGTAATGGCACATACAGGGATGATACATGAATCTTTTCAATGGAAAGCCACTCCGCAGGGAATTTACGATATTGACAGCACAGCATAGCTTTTTAACAAAGTTCTCTCTCAGTGACAAGTCTGCAACAACCCCACATAGAACAAGACAGCAATACCAGTCACATATCACAAAACCACTCCAGAAGAACACCATTTTGCTGAGCATTGCACAACAGGTAAACAATTGAACATAAGTCGATGTTCACAACAAAATTTATCAGAAGGAATGACATATCACCTAACAAAGTTGAAGATTATGCCCAGTCCATATTTGGATAAAGAAGACAATTTGATGTGTACGGAGATGGCATAAAGACAAAGCATGCTAATGTACCACCCCCAACTTTATTTCTCTCTCACGCCATACTTATCCCAAGATTGCCGATCCCCTAAAAACAGAAAAATGAAGGGAAATGCGTTTCCCCTGTAGGTAGGTATGCAAAAAAGCAGCAGAAACATGCTACTGCACATTTTTGGATATTGTAAGACTAGAGAGCTTCCAGACAATTATACCAACCTGACAACCTTTTGGCAACAGATTCTAGTAGTGTTATGAAGAGAAGCTTAATGTCAAGGCTAGAAAGCGATCAGCTGTTACTTCAAGGCATGGAAAAATCATAAATTTTCCACTCGATGAGGAGCAATAGTTGCTGGTCTATTTAGAGTTTTGACTAGACAGCAGACGGTAGATATTCAAACAAATATTATTTGATGGATCAAAGAATGGAACCAAAAGGCAAATAGTATTAATTATTAATGGCAGCTGAACTTACACTATCAAGAACAAAAATTTACTTGAAAAGAGAACAAGATGCAAATGATGTACTTCCATGCACATTGCAAAAAGAGTAAAAGAAAAAGAGGATCTTAGCTTCTCATCAGTACATCTATAAACATGAATTATATGCAATCAATGACAGGTTTATAGTAAATTAATTAAAAAAAAAAGAAGAGAGAATAGAGAGAAGAGGACAGGGGAAAAAGAAGATGGATGGAGCCAGACTTGTCATATACAGTGGTTTAATGCATACCTTCTTAAGCTTGGGAGTAAATGTTCTTGCTCTTTACAATCATAACAGGGCATTGTGTAATTTGTGCACGGTTGGCGCAGTAGTTACTTACACTTCCCAAAAACATTCTGTTGTCATCCAACATAATGAATTTCATCCCATTCAGCTTTGTGATAGATCATAACTTTGTAACATATTTTCAATTTCGTTGCCTGTATGAAGGCTTATAATCATCCATTCCCATGATATTATAAGAACAGAAGAGGCGTCTTTAAATGCATGCAATAGCAACATCTGATGAACGCTATAGGATGACATTGATTCAAACATGAACTCATATTTACTGCTCCTTCAAGCAGGTTTGAGGGATCTCAAAGGACAGACTCTCTTTTCCCTCAAGCCACTTTAACATTGCCACATGGTATCCTCAACATAGTAGTGAATTCGAAAAAAAATCATGCTAGGAGACAAATGAAACTCATAGGTGATGGCTATAATATTTACTCGTATTAAAATCACAAGAAGGAAACTACTTCTTCTTTTGAGCACACGTGACAATGATTCAAAAGACTTCTATTAGAATGCATTACTCTATCAAACAAATTCTCCAATCCAGTAATATAAGATTTTAATTCACCTTTCAACTAGATGCTATTGCAATTAATAAGCTTCTATAATAATAGCCTCTATGCTAGCTTGATTACAGATACTTACTAAATTCTCATGCCTGAACAGTGACCATGATTAAGAGGGTAAAACAACTTAACAACAATGTCAAATATCAAGTGAAATATTCTCAATATTTATATCTTAGCATCAAAATTTATGTTATATAAAACTTGTGATGGTGACCAACAACCAATGCAAATAACACGCACTCAATCAGCATGAAATTGAAGGTGTCTAATCAATAAGCTATTACTATTAATATGGTCTAACTACTACAAAGTTTTCCATTCAACTAGTCCATCAGCCTTCTAAAACAATTTGACCAATTAATTTGACAAAGAAAATTAAGTTGCAAGGAGCAGTATATACCTTTTAATAGGGCCAAAAGCACGGGAACCATCACAAGCAAATCAGCATGCAAATTTTCAACTACACAAATCTTTTACTTTGGAACCCCAATCACAACTTGGGTTTTCACGTTTGCCTGAATTAAAAATATTCCGGTCTTAATCATTTTTCTCAGCAAGTTAAAAACCAAATAATAATAATAATAATAATAATAATAATAATAACATACAAATTATGAATTTAATCTAATTAATTAACTAATTAAGGTCAAATCTCAAAAGACGTTTTGTCGTTTTCCGAATAGACGTTAATTATAAAAGAAAAAGGACCTTTTCTCCAGAACAAATCTGCAGAGAATAATTCAAAATCACTTCAGTGATTCTCTTCTGGTGCGCCTCGATGGTCGCCATGAATGCAGGAACCTCATGATTGCCTGAAATTCAAATTTAAAAGAAAAAATCAATTCGTATCTGGAATAAATTGATTTGATCCAATCCAATCCAACGGAGGAAAAAAAAGGTGGCTTAACTGGGCCCGCCGAAGGGGATGGCACCGGGATTGAACCAGTAGCAATGGACGGAGGAGATTGGACGGGGAGTATAAGGAAGTAACCGAGAGATTCGGACATCCGTAGAGTCGGGAAGATGATCGGATCTTGAGAGTATCGAGCGCCCATCTTAAGGCGTCCATGCTTCCTTCGCTGCCATCAACGGCTACGATTACGCATCCTAAATTTCCACGTATGAATTTGACTGGTTCTTTGACTTCCGCGACGTTTGGAGATGATCCTGGTGATGATTGATCTTCCGTTTCTCTCTTTGTTTTCTAGCGTCATTAACTGACTTGTTCGCTAATAACTCTTTGAGTTGTGTACGGAGTTTGGCGAGTCTTATCTGGGCTACTGAAGCGCGCCAATGTGCGCGTTACGAAATTGCTGGCCTTGAAGCCCAATCTTTATTGGAGAAAGTGGCAAGCATCCAACCCAATAGATCTGCTAATAATTATCCACCCAAAATGCGTTTGGCATTTTGCTTTTTGTCCCAATTGGGTCGCTTGTTAGATTTTCTACATGAAATCCTTTAATTTAAATTTTAAATACTATTATTAAAAAGTTTTATATTTAAAATATTATTACTTTTATCAAAATTTAAGAAAATGAATTAATTTTAATTTTTTTATTAAGTATCTTTTTGGCACTAATTAATATTTTTCTTTTTAAAAAGCACTACTTATATTAATAGTATTTTTTATAAAGAGATTTATTATTAAAAAATATAATATGAAAATATTTTAGTATGTACTTATAAAATAATAAATAGAATCGATTAAAAGACCCTTCAAGTGGAGAAATATTGTTTATAACAAACACATTAATTTTTTTTATCTTATATATGAAATGAAATACTATAATTTGATTAAAACAATTGATAATTAATGATAAATTTACGTGGAGATTGAAAAAGATTTACGTGATAATTATAAATTGTATTTAATAATTTTAGATAAATATTAATTTTATTTAATGATTTCATATAAATTAAAAATCAAATATTCAATTTTGAAATGATATTGATGGAATATTAATAGAGGTATTAAACAAATTCTTTCTTTAACGAGGGATGGATCAATTTTAAGATGAGGTTTTGAATATCGACCTTTATTAATAATAACGTAACAATTAACCATGAACTGACTAGACTTTATTAACCGAGCAAGTAGAGAAGAATTCACTTTGCACTGAAATTATCATTGTTTTTTTAAGCCTTAGTCGGGAATCCAATGCGGGGAGAATGAATCTCTATGGCCACCATCACTAAGCGGGCCATATAAAGCTTAGCCAGACATTTAGAATAGACTGTTAACTTGAAATTTCTTGTCTCGTTTTTTTTCTAATTTTTAAAAAAAAAAAGAACATACAAATCCAAATTACATCATCTTCGCTGTGAGTGACCCCATTGCAAAGAGGGTTTCATCATTTCATTAGGGAGGAAAAGAGTTTTACATCGTACCATATAGTAGCAAAAAGAACTGTCACTGAAGCAAGTGCACAATTATTGAATATTTTTATGTAAATTATAATTGATATTCAAATTTTAATATTCATGAATTTCAATTATTATGGCATATAAGGTAATGGGGTACACCTCATCAAATTTTTAGCATTATAGATTTTTAAATCAATTAATATATTATTAAAATTGACGTTTATAAGTTACAAATTTAAGAAAACTTATGTATATAAATTTTTTTAATCAAATAAATAATAAGATAAAAATTTAAAAATAAATTAAAAACTTAAAAATAAATCTAGCATGCATCATCCTATAGGCAATTACTCTTTTTTTTTATTATTTTTTTGGATAAATAATTGAGGGAATCATATGTTTTTGTTCCTTTGTGAAACTGATTCTACTGGAGTTAGGTGTGAATTAGACAATTTTGTAAGGTTTCCTTTTTGTTATTATTATTAAATGAGAGGATTGTAACTAGTAAGATGATCAACACGTTATCATAGGTAAGATGGATTATTTTTATCTATTTTATATAAATAAAATTACAATTGAGAATAGAAAAATGAATTGTAATTATTAAATTTAAATGATCAACACCCTGGCAAGGCATGATCGAGAAATCTCACTAACTGAAAAAAATTGCATTGCTTTTCCAATTTTAAGCTGTATATTTAATCAGGGCTGGAAATTTCCTTACAGATAAGCGGCTTCAAGCAAGTGGATATATCATGAGATTGCATTTATTTGGCTCATTTTTAACAATAAAAATTTAGGTAAAAAATTAATTATAATGTGAACTCAAATCTTACTTCAATCATGCAATAAATTTTAAAAATTAATATCTAATATATTTAAATTTTAAATTTTAATATTTATAATAAAATTTACAAATAAAAAGCCTCAAAGTAAATAAAAAATCTAAAAAATGCACTTATCCGTACTTATTTATAAGTAGTGATTTAGGTTAAAATTTGATTATCGTGTGAATCTAAAATTTAGTTATAATCACTCTTAAAAAATTATATTTAATAAATTTAAAATTTAAATAAAAACATTTATAATTCATTATCATATTGTATAATATTTTGTAAAAAAATTATTATTATACACATAAAAAAACGAAATCCATTAAAAGGAGCTTCCGGGAAAGTTAATAAAATTCCTGTTTATGTTAACTTGATATAAAATATAACATTATAAATGGTAAAGAAAGTAATGATAGCTTCTCAAGAAAATTCTGATAGCTTTCCGAGAAAATTACGAAGGTGGGCATGAGAACTATGGGTGAGGGATCAGACTGTAGGGTCACCTTGCAATTTGAGAGGAAAAAAAGGATATGACTTGGTTGTTCCAACCCCCAAGTTTCAACTCATTTGCCACGTCGAAAATTATAAATTAAGGAAAAGAAAAAGAATTAGGGTTCTTTTCCTTGCAAGTAGTACTACCATTCATGTCTAGAAAAAAAACCTGAAGCAAAATTTTCCTGAAATTAATGGTCAAGAAACCTTTTTTATTGACGTCTAAAACAAGGTGCGCAAAATTAGACCCCTTCAATCCTGAATCCTGATTTTGAAATAGAGTCAAAAGGTTTATAAAAAAAATTGTGGGAAACAAGCATGATTTCCACCAATAAGCTCACTTACGGTCAAATTAAGTATTAAATTTTATTTTTTATATATAAAAAATCACAGCTTGAGAATGAAAATATGAATTTTTTTATTTTCAAAATTTTTATATAATTTTTCAAAGATAACAATATGAATTGTTTTTTAATATCATTTATAAGATTAAAAATTTATATTGATAATGAATTAAATATTAATTCATTAAATAAATTATCTAATACACTAATATTAAAATTTTTAGACTTTACAAAACTAGGATTAAAAAAAATATATTTTTAAGATATATTTAAAAAAAATAAAAATTAAATATGTGTGAATTTTTAATATCATTTATAAAAATTAAAATTTTATATTGATAATACTAACCCTAGAATTAAAGTCCGACGCTAGATTGTATGAAAATTTAGCTCATTTCACACTCAATTTCCAACCGCAAACCACCAAATTTGCTGGTGTAATTACAAAATTATATATATATATATAATAAATCAAGTTAGTCTTATAAGATAATCATAATTATAGATAGATTATGCGAAAAGGTAAAAGTCATAGCTTCTTATCATCAAAAGCTAGAAAAAAAAAAAAAGCATCTCCCAATTAAATTCCTGGGAAAGCAATTACTTGTAGAATGGTTTGTTTCCAGCCGTGGAAAACCGGAAGACTAAACAAAAAGAAAAATTGATTTGGGAAATGGTGAGTGAGCCATCATCATCAGCTGTGCACCCTTTCCACCAAATCAAAACAAATGTCTACCGTCCGATCCCTGGTATCACAGCAACCGTCCAACGCAGTACCAATCACGAAAACAACCCCCTCACTAAAAATAAATAAAAAGAAACAAGAGAACGAAGCATAAATAAAATGGAAAGTTTAATCGAACCGGAAGTTAAACCGGTTGTACCCGTGGCCCCCACCTGGTCCGAATATTTGATGACCAAAGATTTCACGCTTCTCGATACCTGAAAACGAAATTCCTTTCCCTCGACCATCAAATTGCCCTTTTTTTATTACGTATCGAAAAGTAAATAGTAATAATAAATAAATAAATAATATTCAAGATTTACTTGCTAATTTATTTTTCAGTAATGAAACGTTATTAATTAATAAATATTAACGTATTATTTATGATAATTTATTATTTTCTTTGTCCTTTTTGTTTATTTTTTTAAAAAATAAACAAAATTATGTCTTATTTTTTAAATATCTAAAATTTTTTATATTTTAAAATTATTTTTATTATTTTAATTTTAATTTTAATATCAAATACGTTAAAATCAATTTTCTTTTTTTAAATTTCATAAAAATTAATACAAAGCAAATAAATTAAAACAAAAAGAGTATATTTAACAACCGAAGAAAAATCAATAATATTCCTGTTCATCTGTTCATTTACTCTCTGAATATAACCAAATGAAATATAAAAAATTTTATTATTTTTGTGATTTATTGTTAATTTTAAAATTTTTTAATAAAATTAATTAAATTTAATAAACGAACGAAAATCAAAGTTTTTGTTTCTGCAATGACATTTCCATGTACACACTGCTTAAAAATATTATTTTCCGCCTATTTCTCTCTCTGGCTTTCTAAAACCTTGATCTAGAAAATAGAAAATTTTTATGTTGTCGGAAAATCCGCGAGCTGAAGAAGAAGCTTAAACTTTCACTTTTTTGCTAACTCAAGCAATATCAACATTCTTCTCTTACTGTCAGTTCCTTTTAGATTTGTTTATATTTATTTTTTTATAAAATTCTCGATTATTTAATTTACGAGATCACGGGGCAGTTCAACGACCTTGTTTTAGTCCATATCAATGGCTACGATTGAATGCTTGACGGCCGGAGTTTGTTTCCCTTGCCAGAGCGACCCACACGACGACGTCGTTGGAATCTAGTGTAGTGGTGGGATTAGGAGGCTAGTAGTGTTTGCCGATTCCGTTGGATGCCTATTGGGTGCAGGATAAATGCTTCTTGCCTGGAATCTAGGGTTTTCGAGCCTGGTCCTTGTGGTCTCCCTTGTTCTTCCTTTGATCGGCTTTTTCATTAGGCGGAAATGGCGGCTTTCTGTAGCCAGGCAAGCGGAGATCAAGAGACTTTTGATTTTGGCATCGGAGGAGACCGCTAGGGCCGAACTTGAAGCCTCTGGTGGATACGGTACCATTTCCATTTCGCGGAACTATCACCAGTGCGCTGTTTGCTATTGTCCTACTACTACGCGGTGCGCCCGCTGTAAAGCCGTTCGATATTGGTTCGTAAATTTGTTAATTTCGAATTATTGTTTTAATTTATTAATTATTGAGAACTTTTGTTTAGGGCATTTAGTTTGAACTATATTTGAGATGAATCTGATTCTTTATTTGACAATAATATCTTTAATGGTATGCAATTGAAGAATATTTGGTTAGAGAAGTGCTTCAATTAGCTCAGGGCAAGTGTGGGTCTAATTTAAACATTCCATAATCTGTATAAATGTATGTAGGCATATAATTTAGCGGTACAAGGTGTGTGCTAATGAAGTGAGAAATGAAGCAATTTAGAAGACTTGGTTCGTAAAAATTAATTATAGATTCAACATCCACAATCTATCATGGATGGGGAGTTTGGAGCTTGTCTTAAAAACCTGCAGTTTTCCCCATGCAGTTTAGGAGTTGAGGTGGTGTATGCTCGATAATAACATTTGCAAATAGTTAAAATGTGGTTCGTTTGATGGAAAAGAAAAAAGAATACCACCCTAATGAATGGAGAAAATAGTTTAGCTTTTCCCTGTCATTTTATTATAATTTTAAGGATGTGATTTTATGGGACATAGTAAATTATGGCTTTATTGAGCTTTTTTTTTTTTCTGATGACAGTTTTTATTGAATTGTCTTTCAATGGTATTTTATTTACATCAAAATTTGGATGTTTTAGTTCTGCTAAGTGTCAAATTATTCACTGGCGACAAGGTCACAAGGAAGAATGCCATCCTTCTGCCATTACCACATACCATAATCATGATCAGGGAAGTGATTCGGGTCAAATAGTGATGGAACAAGACCAGCATGGAGACGGATATGAGATCGAAGAAAAGCAGCATGCTAAGCCAACTGGAACATCCTCCACAGAACCTGCATTCTCTAATTCCACCACAGAACCTGCATTCTCTAGTTTCACTAGCTCTTCTGTGGTTTTACATGGGAATGATGATGATATAAAGGTTGAGTTCCATGCTGATGGGGAAGGAACAAACTCTGCTTTAGAATCTCCCAGTGCTTCATTTTCTGGATTTTCTTCTTCTGCAGCTGGTAGTGAATCATCTGACGATGTTTCTGTATGTGAGAGCATAAGTTCAAATGAGCCTGATAAATTGGAGATATCGTCATCTGCTGATGCTAATCTCGACATGTTTTGGACTGCTTCTGGTGTCAACAACGTGGATCAAACCAATCCATTATCCCCAAAATTTGCTAGGTTGGTTGGTTTGGTAGATAAATTTTGTAAATTAAATCAGACAAAGCCTGATCAAAGTGGAGAGAGCCAATGCAGAGTAACTAGTTCTTCAGGTTTAGGCATTAGTGGTACATGTGAGGGCTTAATTGCTGAGGGTTGTACACTATCTTCTGGTTTCTGGGGCAGAACTCTGGAATCAGTTCCATCTACAACTGATGCTGACAATGAGTCTTTTAGTACCTCACTTGATTCTGAATCTTCCTTACATTTTTCATTTAATTTGTCTGGAAATGCTTCTTCCTCACATCCACAAGGCTCCAAGGTGAAAGCTTCCAAATTGGATGATTCTCCTCAGGGTGCTTTGCGGCATACCAAGCTTTCTGATAGAGTAACTTTGTTAGAAAACGTTGGTCTAGATGCTCCGAAGGTCAGCAACTCCCAATCTTCAAATATTGAATGGACTAACCATATGGAGTGTGGATCTAGCAAAATTTCTAATGTCCCAAAACCCAGGGAAGCTATCAATACAGATGTTCCATTAGTCAGTAGTTTGTCATCTTCATGTTTTGAAAAATCAGGCTCTGGTGCTGTCATTAATGGACCTAGCACTGCTTCTCATCCGTTAAAGTCTTCTGAATCCAGTGCCAAAGAACATGTTGTTCCTAGTGTAAAATCTGGGAAAAATTGATGGTGTTAATGCAAATGCGGCTACATTACCTCAGGTTTCAAGTTGTTCTTCTAATGGGAGGCATGGATTGAAAACCTCTATGTGGAAAGTTGTTGATCAATTCAGAGGATCTAAATTGCCGAAATACTATCCATTTGGAGTGAGTAATGAGGTCTCTGGAAAATATAATGATAAGGTTTGCTTAAAGTTGCAATTTTTTTTAGCCGTATTTTTAGCCTCTAACTAATTGGCTTTTAGTTAAATTTTCTTTTGTCTTTGCAGGGACTTTTTCCTTATGAATCGTTTGTCAAACTTTATAATTGGAACAAGGTGGAACTGCAACCATTTGGCCTTGTAAACTGTTTGAACAGGTGATAGAAGATTGGGTTTTTTATTATGACTAATAATTATGGAAAAACTATGTAGAGCATAATTTTTTATATTATATTATTGGGTAAACCCCACTTACACCCCTTGTGGTTTAGCGTTTCGCACAAAACCATATTTTTTTTTTCCATATAGCACCCTGAGGTTCTTATGCATTCCCACAAGGGGTTATGGTGCTAAAAAAGTAATGAAATGACTTTAACACCCTATATCTGAGCTCAAATTTTCAAATTTGTGCCTTCAATACCTATCAAAACATTAGAATTAAACAAATTTATGAACCTTTAGCCAAAAAAAAATTTATGAACCCAGAACTACCCAATCCCATAATCCTTATTCTGCAAATTTATAAACCCATAGATATTCAAAATACCCATAATCTATTATATCCCCGCTCAAAATTTCTTCCAAAATTTGATAAAAATACTCAAATACCTTGTGGTGGTTATGTTGGAAACGGTGAAATCATAAGGGGTGTAGGTGAAGTTTTCCTTATTTATTTTGTTCATTTACTTTTTCCTTTTGTATTTTCAATAACACAGATCATATGTAGAAGCTACTTTGTTGATTAAGACAGAAAGTAGAATGTGTTTTTTTCCTTTTTACTGATTGTTGTCAGTTGACATGCTTTATATGAATCTTTTGCACTGAAAATGGTGACTGCAACTCCTCAAATTCTCTTAGCCCTTCGCTTATCATGGCGTCATTCCTTCAGCTTTTTATCATGGCATCATTCCTTTAGCTTTGTTTGTTCGATTTCTTGGTGAAGAATCATCATTTATTTACACTCAATTGACAATATGATTCTCATTGGCCCTCACTATTATCCCTTGTGTTGCACAAACCTATAGAGAACAGTTGGATATTGAACATTATACTTTGATTCGGTTACTCAGATGTCAATATATTATGGAGAAAGAGCCAGAAAGAGTGCTAGTTACACTCTTTTAATTGCTCATGTTCTTTCAGTTTAAGCCATTTGTGATGTTGATATCTGCTTGTTTATCATATTCCTCTAAGGTTTAAATTTTCATCTTTTAAGTTCTGTGGAACCTTGGTTAGGTCTATATTTGACTATTTTATTCCCTGTAAGGTTTCTTTCTGTTGTTAATGTGCTATTTACTTTGCACAGCTGTTATGCCAATGCTGTCCTCCAATGCTTGACATTCACTCCTCCTCTAACTGCTTACTTTCTTCAGGGACTCCATTCGAAAGCATGTATGTCCCTGTAATGTTTCCAAAATTGAACTATTTACATTTTTAAGTTTTGAGGTAGGCATGTTGGATGACTCTCACTATAAATTGCTTTATCAGGTGCAAAGAAAGAATGGTGTTTCACCTGTGAGTTTGAAAATCTAATTTTGAAGGCTAAGGATGGGAAATCTCCACTGTCCCCTATAGGAATACTGTCCCAATTACAAAATATTGGTAGTCAACTTGCTAATGGGAAAGAGGAAGATGCACATGAATTTTTAAGGTAAGGTAGATTTACTGATGTTTAATGCTTGAACCTTTATCAATGTTTTCTTCACGAGAAATGAGTAATCCTTTCAATAATGTTGCAGTTTATTGATGAATTACAATTGGCAGGTATGCTATCGATGCCATGCAATCTGTTTGTCTTAAAGAATTTGGGGTGGTTTCATCAGGTTGTTTAGAAGAAGAAACGACTTTAATAGGCTTAACATTCGGGGGCTACCTTCGGTCAAAGGTAATAGCTTAAGACCAAGCTACATTCTAGCTGCATCTTTCCCTCTCTCTCTCTCTCTCTCTCTCATGCACCAGATGTCTTATCAGCATCAGGAGTTTTGTGTTAAAATGCAAATGATGCATATAAACTTGCTACTATTGTCTGCAGATAAAGTGCATGAAGTGTCATGGTAAGTCTGAACGTCACGAAAGAATGATGGACCTTACAGTTGAAATTGAGGGAGACATTGGAACTCTGGAAGAGGCTCTTCGGCGGTTTACAGCGACTGAGATTTTAGATGGAGAAAATAAGTACCAGTGTAGCAGGTTGGTTCAGTTACAATTTTCAAAAATCTTTTTAGATATTTTATCGACATTATTATCATGCAATGAGAACTGAAGATGAACTTTTATGGAGATAATCATAACCCTATGTCCAAAATTTCATAGCTTTTTATTTATTAGTCATAGTCTTTCAGTTTCTTTAGATTTTGACAATTTGACTTTTGGAGAAATAACAAGGAGAAATTCTCTCCTTTAATCTTAACGTGATGGGAGGATGGACGCTCAAATCAAAGCCATTATTTTCTTTTTCTTTGGCTTCAGTTTTAACTTGTTCGAAATATGGTCTTTGTCTCTATAAATAGCATACTTTGAAAAAGCTCTTGGCCGTATTTTGATGTTTCTGGAGAAACAAATTTTCATCAAATTTGGAAGCTATAAAAAATTGTTTATGTACATCATATTACATTATTTTGTCTGTTGTGTCATGTGATCATGCAAGAGTGGATATTATATTCATTGACAGTTTCTCCTCCCCCCCCCCCTTTTTTTGACCAAATTTTCGTTGATAGTTGAAATTTGAAATCTAAATTTTATGCTTCTGTTAGATGTGTATACCAAAAAATAAACAAATTTTACAGCACTTCTGCGATGAAATTATAACTGTTTGTCCAAAAAGCTGTGTTTCATCAAAGATTGATAAGTACTCAAGTAGTGAATAGCATAGAATTACTCTGATGATTGATTTTATTAAACATTTCCTTTTATTGTTTAGTTCTTGTGCTTGTTGATTTTGGTGGTGGTAGTGTGCGTGATGATATACAGTCTGTATGGTTGCATCGATTTTTAGAGGTTGCTCACTTTGTCAGTCCTTGGTTCGTTCAGATGCAAATCTTACGAGAAGGCCAAAAAGAAGTTGACAATATTAGAGGCTCCAAATGTCCTAACTATTGCTTTGAAGCGATTTCAGGTACACTTTTCAATAAAGAATGATGTTTTGCTCTTTGTTAGTTGCTGATTCTTACAGCTTAATTGTGTATTATGTTGCAGTCTGGTAAATTCGGAAAGCTTAACAAAGCGATTCAATTCCCTGAGATCTTGAACTTAGCACCATATATGAGTGGGATAAGTGATAAATCACCCATATACAGGCTTTATGGGGTGGTGGTCCACTTGGATATTATGAATGCTGCTTTTTCAGGACACTATGTGTGCTATGTTAAAAATGTTCAAAACAAGTGGTTCAAGATTGATGACAGTGTGGTATGTTCTCTACGCCTATTATCTGCATACTTTAAGCTATTTCATTTGTTTACTGCATGCTTCCTTTACTTAATGTCAGAAGTTTTTGCCATATGTGATGGTTTACCTGTTGCTGCCATATTTGTAATAATTGGCAATACTTTTAAACGCTTCACTTTAGGATCACTTAAATTTCCTGGTTAATAGGAGATATAAGAAAATACTCCCACTTTTTTGGAAATTTTCCAGGGAGGCTTTGTTTTTTTCCTTTTGATTTAGGACCGAATTGGACTTTTATTAATTGTGGTAATTTATGTCTTCAGTTTTAAAGGTAGTGAAAAAATAGAACATACTCCTCTTAGTTAGCAACTTTTTCAGATGTTTAATTTGGAGGCATTAGCCTATGTTTTTTTTTTGTGAGATGTACCAATGGCAGGGTCTAAAATGCTGTCCTAAAGCGCAAAAAATTGAGTTTGGAAATATCCACTCATTTTCCCTCCTCTTGTTCTGTCTTCATGTTATACATTACTGTTACACTTTAATTATGCTAAATGATCTCTTAAGTCTTTTGGGTTGGTGATAATTTGGCAGGTAACATCCACAGAACTTGAAAGAGTTCTAACAAAAGGAGCATACATGCTTCTTTATGCAGGGTAAAGAATCTCAGTTGCTCTTTGCTTCTAAAATTTATATGCTGTCATGGCTGGGGTTGTTGTTTAACAAACTAATTACCCTGCAGGTGCTCACCCAGGGCCCCAAGATTGGTGAGCAGAAGTGAGTCCATTCCATCGAGGGTCAATTCAAAGAATCAGCTGAATTCAAGTTCTTCAACAAATTCTAGTCTTGATGAAGTCTACCCTAGCTCAATTTATCCAGATATTCGAGGGAGCATTGAATCTTTTTATTCAAAATACAATCGGCTGCAAAGGATTTTAGAGGAGGACTCAAGTGATAGTTCTTCTCTTTTTAGCAGCAACTCTGATGAAGGTTCCTGCTCTACTGATAGCACACGAGATTCTACCTGCGCAGATGACTTATTGGATTCTATATTTGGTGATTCAATACGTGGTTTGAACAGCCCCTGTAGGAGTTCTGATTCCGATGCTTCTTCATCTTCCTCTTCTACTCCACTTTACTCAAGGCATTCACCCCTTGCTGATTTAGACCGATACGCTTCAGGTTCTCCTGAAATTTGCAGCTCAGCTAAAGAGAATGTTGTTCTTTTGGACAGACGACCCAGTGGAAGTAGCAGACAGATGGATGAGGAAGGTAAGGGAAATGATCCTTTTTTCCACAATGACACGAGTAAACAGTGTAGAAAGATAGGTAGTAGTAGGTCTAGGGAAACTGACTCAGAGAGATTAGGAGGGGTTAATCCTTTAAATGATGTATCTCTTAGAAAATCGAGGAGGGAAAGAACCGAATAAAAAATTCTATTAGGAGGTATTAAGTGGAGGTAAATAAAGATTTGGGAGGGGTTTGCATGTAATGTACTCGTGTAATTAGCTGGGTTTGTTTAAAGAAAGCAGCCATCACCATTTTGTTTATATCTCTCCATTCTCTTGGTTAATGCAAACGCTAGGCACTTCCCTTGGCCTTTATCTACAAAAACAACATTCATTTCAAGAAAATGAAAACTTCTCTCGTAGTTTGGGACAAAAAACAATTGTACTACATTTTGTTTCCGTCCATTACGCAAAAAAAAAAAAAACAAAAAGAAGTTAAAAATGAGACAGAAATTTTACAACTTGGATTCTTCAAGCTGAGTAATGGGGTTTCAGTCAAAGCTAAGAGATTGGTGGAACATTTGTCCATCCCCATTTCGTACATCTCGATCTTGGGTAGTGTATTGGTGAGATCAGGAGCCGTTACAAATTCACTTTGGAAAAAAGCTAGGTTGACTTTCATGAGCTTTATCCACTAATTCATAATATTCAATCAATATAAGGCCGTAATGAGTTTGACGGTAATCGAAAGTCAAAAATTTCGGGTTCATTCGACAACTAATTTGAAGAAAAATTTTGTCGTTAGGTGAAACTGTTAGTGAAACGTGGCCAATATTGCTAAATTCAAAGTTACGCACGAAGCACAAAAAAGAATGGAAGATTTGGCCTTTGAAAGCAGATTTAATTAGATTAGCTATCATCTTCTTCCAAGAAATACTTATTTATTGATTTGGAATTGTGGATTAATGAACTTTAAGAACAGTCAAGGAATCAAGCTTGATAATATAATAATTTTAAATATAATATTATGATATAATATTAAAATTGTATACAAAAAAATATAATTTAAAATTTTAATAAAAAATATATTTTATATTTAAAGTATTAATATAAATCATAATAATTATTTTTATATTTTACATATGTTAAATGTTAAATAAGCAAATCAAAATACTTAAATTAAATGGTGTCCTGACTTTCAAAACTTGTTTCTGTCCAAAGACGTCCCAAATTGCCCTATGCTTATTGTCATCGATGTGATATGTAATGGGTTTTTCTGTGTGCCTGCAGGTCGAATGTCCTATAATATTGATCAAGAAATAACAAAACAAAGTGATGCAAGTGGGGTTATAGCTTTATCTGGCCCACATTGAAAGCCAGAAAAAGTCTGCCATTGAGGAGTCATTGCCAAGCATGCATGCATTTTATCAAGTATCATTTACTTCTATCTATTCAACAAGTCTTGTCATCAATGAAACTTTGTAGCAACTTGGAGCTAAAATGGGACCCCCCTCCCCCATCCCCAACTTGTTCAAAGAGACAGATCACATCGAAATGGGCAATTGCACAACCTCTTCATTGCGTCTTCCGTGCCTTCTTTTGTTCGCATTAAAGTGTTCTAACCATGCATTCATAGCAAGGTTCACATGCATTTTAATCGGTTATTAACCCGCAAGAAAAAGTTTGCAAAAAAAAAATAAAATTTGAAATAACTTTCATATGATAAAATTTATTGTATATATTTTTAACAAAGAAAATAATAATAATGATGTTTTTTGTTGCAAAATTTTTTTAATAATTATAAACTATCATTTTGTAATTACATTAAATGTGAATAAAAACAACTTTTTCTAAAAAAAATTTTACATTGCTTTTCCCCCCCTTAAAAACCTTGAGCCGGGAAAGGTTAATCTCCGCCCCTTCTTTTGAATCCCGTATGTCTCGGAGATGTCGGGACAAAGCAGCAAGAGACAACGAATCATGGGTGGTTGTCGAAAGATCTTTGTGATAATCCATCTGTGACAAAAATAAGTCTTCTTTTCGGCTGAGAGACAATGGTAGTGCCTGTCTTGTTCTTGCCGTTAAACAAACTTAAGCATATTAGCAAAGCTGATTTAAGCCTCTTTCTCAATTCATGATAGCCTTTATTTGATTCGGTGATTATTATGTTCCAGAATTCCTCCTCATTCATCTGCATCACTAGACAAATTACAAGATTCACATTAGCATGTATTGCATGTTAGTAGTATTTTTCTCCTTTCGGATTCAATCTTCCAATAAATTTAGTAAAACTAGCCAGATAGATAGACTTTGTAATTTCTAGGTTCACATTGTATTGATCATTGATCCAATATCTAAAACTATAAAAGCAGTGACAAAAAGAATCCACATTGTTAAATTGCAGATAATTGGATATATATCAAATTGGAGGTAGTCTTGAATATATAAATATCATAAGATTCCCTTAAACTATTATCAAATTATTTTAGATTGAATGTCATCTAAATTTAGTCAGTCTTGTAAACAATATTGAATTGGCAGGTAGTACTTTTCTTCAAACAAAAGTCAATTGGCTAAGCTGAAAAATTGGACTTCTCCTTGTCTTACAAATATCTATGCTGATTAATTAACAACCTTTTTGGTTAAATTATTCACAAACTAGTACTAAATTACAATGCAGCAATCAGGCAGTCATGCTGTTCCATATCCTATTTGTTTTTATGAAGATAAAGTAGTGGATTTGTTCAGAACTTGGAAAATCTACAACTCTTTTACAGGTCAGCTTATATATGGAACACTGAAAATAGTCAAACTGATGAATAATTTAAATATGTATAAAATAATAAACAGGCCAAACCCCTTTCGGCATACGCCAATAATGTAATAATGCTAGCTTTATTATTTTCACGAAATAAAAGGAAGAAAAGTTCAAGCTTCAGAATGGTGTAGCTCGGACAGTCATTTAGAGTCAAATTGGCCCCAAATGGTTTTATTTTTTTAATGATAATAATCATAACCAGGAGCTTGAAGGAGAAAGCATGGAATCAAAGTAAAGAATTGTCAAAGAGAGAGGCGCCAGCTTATGAAGGATTTTCATTCCCAGATCCTGGAATTAAGATTGGCCGCTGGTTTTTATTTTTCCTGACCAGCCAACTTGGAAAGAAAAGCAATTTTAGTTTCTGGTCTGATTTAGGGCATCTGCCATCCACTTGGTAAAGAAATTTCCCGAGAATTAGGGCTTAAGATTGAAAATTTTCATTTGGACAAATGTTGACATAATACTCTCAAACAAAATACAGTGATACGATATAAAAATAATATAAATAAAAAACATAAAGATGATACAATTTAAAATTTTAATAAAAATTATAAATAAATTTAACAAAATAAAAAATATATATTTTATATTTTCGTATTAACACAAATTGTAACATTTAATTTTCATATAAACATGATACTAATATATGAATTATTAATATTTTATATGATACGAATACACAAATTATTAGGTTTTACAAAACTATTTGATGTTTGATTATTTGCTTGGGGTGCTTCTAAATGCACTCTTATTCTTATTTTTACATTTATTCATTTTCAAATTTATTTTTAGGTAAAATTACTTAATTGTCATTTTCTATTTCAATTTTAAAATTTTCAGATATATATATTCTATAAATTTTATAATTTATTTTATTTTTATATTCGATACCTTACATATAGAGTTTTAAAAAAAATCTCGTATCGTGAGTAATATTCACAGCATTGTAAGAAAAAAAAGATAATTTGTTTCAAATAATTATAGGCTCATTTACAAATTAATAGACAAAAATTATACATGTAAATCTTTAGATTTTTTCTTGATTTAAATGATTTGGACTAGAAACTTTAAAAACTTTTGAAAATACAAATTTGTAGATCTTTAAAAATTTTTGAATATGCGAATCTGAAATTTTTTAAAAACTATGAATTTGTAAATTTGAAACCTTAAAAATAAAAATGATTGAAGAAAAATAATTAAATAAATTTATTTTAAAATATTTTCTTTAAAATAAAATTTTTTTTTGATGCAAATAGAAGCTTCCTTTACTCAATTTGATTAAGGGGTAGTGCAAAAGAGGCAAACTTGTTGGAGTTGTCAAAAGGACAAAATTTATATAAATTTTTAGGTAAAATTTTGTAAATTTAAAAATATATATTAATAAAAAATTTAATAAGAAATTCAAATTTATATATTGATAGAGTTTAATCGTGAAAATCAATAAAATATAAAAATATCATTAAAAATATTATTTATAATTCAAATTGATAAATACTTATTTAATGATCAAAATTTTATAGATATTTTTATTAAAAATATCTATAAAATATATATAAAAATTTATTAAAATTTTTTAATTTTATATGTTTGATGTATATAACGAGATATTTTAATTTATCAATTTTAATTTTTATAAAAATTTATAAATTTCACCCAAAAAACTTATGATCTTATTTAGATAAGTGATAAGATTAATTTTGATAAAATTAAAAAAAATAATAATAATTATTATTATAACTATGATAAAAAAAATTATGATTATAATTAAAAAAATTTATATTAAATGAATTTTAATAAAATTAATATTTAAATTAAATTAATAATATAATGAACTTAACTGAAGTATAAAAATACAGTGAAATCTAAACCCTATTTATTGTAAAAAGCTTAATCTAAGTATGTTAAGATAGCATTAATTGAAGTTCATTATTAATTATGTTGATGGACCTGCATGTCAGTGAAAGAAAGATAAGGTAAGTTAATTCAACTAACCCTTCTTGTTTTTTTTTTTATTATTTAGTACAAAACGCCCCAACTAAAAACTTACGAAGTTGAGATTTGACCAAGTCTCATTTCTTTTTCTTTTTTTTTTTATTAAAAAAACAAAAAGATAATTTATAGCCATTTAATCCCAAGTAGAAATTAAATCTCAAATTCAAAACCCCATTTTCCATTACTACAAAAAAAAAAAAAAAAAAAAGAATCAAAGTTTCTCAATAGTAAATAATAATAAAAAATATTCTTAAAATACATGTAACAAGAAAGAAAATTGTTGCACAAGTGGTTGATGTAATAGTAAATTAAGATGATCAAACTATTTAGTTAGTTGAAAAAGAGAGAAACCTATACATATTTAGGTAATTATTTCTATCAACCTCCCTCATTTATAATTTTGTCAACAATTTATGTCCCCCTGCAGAATTGGTATGTACTAGACAGCCAGAAATATCAATAGAAGGATGATTAAATTGATAATTACTAATATTAACCAAAACATCTCCTTTTTATCTTTAAAATATAATTTTTTTGGGTGGGATAGAAAGCTATAACAAGTTGTTTTATGAACTTAAATGTTGAATATTTATCCTTTTTTTTAATGCTTTTATTTGTTTTTTTTTTTTTTAAGTAAAGTACTTGTTTTAGAAATGGGAGGGAGAGATACAGGTGGAGTTAATTATCATAAAAATAAAAAATATATATTATCACATCTTTTAATTTAAGTTTCATTTAGATGGATGATGATAAGATTAAAAACAATAATTATTATTATTATGATTAGATTAAAAAAATTATTATAATTTACGATTAAAAAAAATTTATACTACATAAATTTTATTGAAATTAATATTTAGATTTAATTAAAAATACAATAAATTTAATCATACCGCATCATAGATACGATGAAATCAAAATGGAACCTTAGTTTTAGAGGAATCGATTAAGGATATTTAATTATTTTTAAAAATAATTTTATTATATTTATTAAAATAAATAATATATTAATAAAAACACACCGAATTCGTAAAATTATAAAATAAAAATATTATTGTGATAATATTATATTCTATTAATAACAAGATTTACTAATTAATGGTATTATAAAGACGAAATCAAGCTTTTGGCCTTAAGAAAAATACTGCCTTCATCATATATAATAGTAAATTTTTTAAAATATATATATATAGCAGTACTTCAATAAAATCTGTTTTTTTTTTTATATATATATAAGATGTTGGAACATGATCTAAATTCTATGTAAAAGAATGAAAATGAAACTGAACCTCCCCATATTTTTTTTGGGGGGTTAGAAATTAAAGCAACTCGATTCATAATTAATGTTTTTAACTGTCCATGTTTTCATAGAATTCTTCTGTTCGAGCATGGAGTCACTTGGCAACGACTTTAATTTTTTTTCTTTTTTCTCAAAAAAAAAAAAACTCATAAAATAACCATTAGAGACATAAAAGTGAGAGAAATATTCTTAGGGAACTGTCAATTGTGCCGTAGAAAATGAATCATTTTATAAGTTAGTAGTATATGATGTAATACGTTATTTTCATTCATTCATTCTTTCTTTTAAATAAAGAAAAATTTTATGGTAAAAAATGCCTAAAATGCAATTATATTGCTCAAGTATTTTTTTAAATAAAAAATTTTTTTATTTTTTTTACTAAAAACATGAATAGAGATAAAAAATAAAATTATAAATATATTATATTTACAAATTTTTTTCTAACTTCTTCACGCAAATAGGCCCACGATAACTACAAAGCAAGAAAATATCCAATCTTTGAAGAAACAGAAAAAAAAAATGATAAGATCAGGCAATAAATGTCTTGTCTCCATGAAATATGACCATTCAGAGCCAAGCACAAGTGTCATTTAACTCGTTCGGGTGAGAAAGCGGTAGCCAGTACCCAACAGGCAACTGCAGCAGCTCAAGAATCAAAGATTTTATGGAGAGATGGAGGCAATGACTCCCTCCCTCCCCCACTCACAATCCCAACCCCAACCGCTATCTTTGCTATGCTTTCATCACTGTCTTATTTTTTCCCATCAAAGAAAAAGATACAAATCAGAAAGAGACAATTCAAAGTACATATATGATCAGATAAAGAAGGAAGAAAAGAATGGGAAAAGAATTAAAAAGAAGAAAAGAAAAGATACTATTAAAGTGGGGTAAGAGCTTTCAAGAACGCATTGGATAAAAGCAAACGCAAACCCTTTTTTTTTTCTTTCTTTTCGTTCTCTTTGTGAGCTGCCCTGAAAAGAATAGGTAGCTAGCATAACCCTAGCCATGTTTTCTTCAGGCATACGCTTAAACGGAGAAGGTATGGAAAATAAAATGGATCAATCGAATCAGCAGCATTATCTTCAGCCAGTAGTGCAGCTGCTGCTTGCAGAAGAGTGCAGAGATACGTATGATCAGTTCCAAACTTCAAGCAATGCTCAGCTCAGCTCAGCTCTCCCATATTGAAACAGAAAAGAATCTGACAACTATCTAACATGTAATAAAATTATAAAAACAGAGAAATATACAAGAACCAATTTAAACAGTAGAAAGTTTGATGACGAATGACAATTTTCACAACCCACACCCTTATTACGGATGATTTTCCAGGGTCGTCTCAGCTCTCAATCAAAGCCAACGAATGCTTTTTCAGCTTTTCCAAAGCTTGAAAAGTTTTTAAAACATTTTCTCATGGAGAGAACAAAAAAATTAATCAACTAACAATTCAAAATTAAAATTTAAACGAAGGTAATTGATGATTATATTATGATGAAACAAAACACTACAAAACACAAAAAGGAAAAAAAAGGATCATCTAAACTCCATTAATTCACAGTGCTTCCCAAAGAAGAAAGTTTTAAAAGAAAAAGAAAAGCTAGAACTTAAACTCATCAATAAGGCGGTGGAGGTGGCGGTGGTCTAGCAGTTGGAGCCCAAATCACATCTGCTCCACCCAAATGACAACTATACATGGAGACCCCACAAGAATCTGAACCAGCAGCGTGACTACTATCTCCACCGCCACCAGAAAAAGGCGGCGACTGTCCCTCACCACCACCACCAGACGACACCGTATTCCTCGCTTCTTCTTCTCCTGGTAACCGATGATACGAAGGATTGTTAAACGTAGCAGCTATTATAAACACGGTGCCAGCAGCCAGCAACGAGCCAGCTACGAAACCTCCAACGATCTGCCCTTGAGGACCCGCTAAAGAGATAGAGAACGTATTAGGCATGTGACACGGCATCGTTTGAGGTAGGAACGTGGCTGAGAGGGATAAGATGTCGAATCTGCCATGGAAAGTTATGGTAGCTCCCGGAGTAGTTGAAGGTTGACGGAGAGTTACGTTGGAAACAGTTCCAGATCCTCTAAGTACGCAGATTCCAATGTTTTTGCAACGAGAGAAACGGGAGATAGCTTCAACGATGTCGTTTCCTCCAGGGATTTCGAGAATGTAAGGACTCATGGCAGGGTCAGGTTCCCGAGTGATGATGACGGGTGGTTTGGGCTTGTTTCTGGAGCCTGGAGGACGACCTCTGGGTCTACGAAAGACTTCGATGGTAGCTCCATCGCCAGCGCTCGCACCGCCGCCGCTTCCACCACTAGGAAGGGTAGCGTTGTGGTTGGTGGTAGGGTCTTTGGGGGTAGGTGTGGTGGTGTCATCGGAGTCAGGGTTTTGGGATTCACGAGAGAGTTGGAACTGATGAGAGAAAGGATTATTTTGATGAAGGTTCTGATGAGGGTGGTCAAGTTTTGAAAACATGCTGTTGGGGTTATCATATTTGGGCTCTACATGTTCACCTTTCATGCTGTGGGGGGTGGGATTTTCCTTTTAAATGGCTCCTAATAATTTTTTAAATAAATTTCTTTGTCTATATATATGATAGTTGAGATTTTGGATGTGGGATTTTGTAATAAAAAAAGGTGGAAATGAAAAAAAAAAGATTAATAGGCAAGAAAAGAACAAGAGAACGAACAAGATGGAATGGAAAGGGAGATGGGTTTGTGGGGGGAAGAAAGACTGGGAGAGAGAGGGGTAAAGGCAAGGAAAATAGAGGGAAGCAGGGGAGGTGGGTGAGCTTTGAAACCAAGTAAAGACTAATGGCGCCGCTGGTTGGAGGTAAAGTAGGGTCCATACATCACATTCACACACGAGAGAGAAAGACGAAAATTGACAAAATTGGAAAGTACGGGACATTAGTTACCTCAGCAATGCATAGCCTTTGTTTTTTGTTTAAAAGTAAATTTGATAATTTGTATTTATATTATATTTTAAATAAAATTATATATTATAACTTATCTTGATATAAAATTAAAATATATTTTTATAATTCTATTAAAATTATAAATTATTTTTATATTATTTTCACGTCTTGTATTTTAAATTATTATATTTATTTAAAAATTAAAATATATTTTTATAATTCTATTAAAATTATAAATTATTTTTATCTTATTTTCACGTCTTGCATTTTAAATTATTATATTTATTTGCAAGGAGAGACCTGAAAATTGAGACAGAGAGATAGGAAGCGAGGCCCTTTGGGCCCTCCCGACCGAGTGGATTGACAATGACTCCTTGATGTTCTTCTTTTGGGTCATGGGGATGCCTTGCTTTTTTTTTCCACCAAAATTTTCTTCTTCTTCCTTTCTTTTCCTTTTTAGTTCATCTTTATTTTTGTGGGAGACTTGTATTTTATTTAATACTATTATTTATTATTTTTGTAATTTACTTTTCTACTATGATCACCTTCTAAATTATTATCTCTGTTATTTACATTTAAATAGATTTTCCACAAATTTGAAGTTCGAGTCTCTACAATCTTTAATATAAAAAATATACATATTTAATATATTATTAATATAAATATTTATTTTGACCAGAAAATGGTTTTCCTTCTTGTAAATTCAGCCAACTAAACTTAGAATTTGAATCTGAAACCTTTAAAATTGTCAACCGAATATACTTTTTTAAAAATAGAAATTACTATATCATTGATGATAATGAAATTGATTTCCAGGAAAAAAAAAAAAACTATTTATGAGAACTGGCACATACCCAGAAATGAAAAAAGACGTTGTTTCCTTTAAAAATAAAAATAAAAAATGAAAAAAAAATGCTTAATATGAATGTAGGTGGATAGAAGCAGCTGGGGCTCCAAGATAAGGATTGCATAACAAGTTGAAGCTGATTGCCAAAGATTCTTAGTTGAAACCTACCCTTTTATGGATAAGGAAGTGCAGTTATGTAGCACCCACATGATAACGTAAGGAATACTTCAGAAATTAGGCCACCTGGCATAGTTACATTGCATGGTCAAATTCAATCATCCTCGTTAATTCCTCGTAGCTCATTATTATAATTTATATAATTATTTTTAAAAGATAATATTTAATAAATTTAAATTTTAAATTATAGTATTATAATTTTTTTTTTTTATATTTTCAACCAAATGAAAAAAAAAAATTATCAGAAACTTTATCTTAAAACTCAAGGCACTTAAATCCATTGTTATCATGTTGTGCTACTTCATAAAGGTCGTTAAGAAAGGTATAGGGAATCAGGGGCGTAGCTAAGGGTTGGAATGAGCCACGGTCCTTCCAAAATAATTTGAACATCCTTATATGTATAGTTTTTTTTTTCATAAAATTTATTATTTGACCTTTTTTTTCTAATTGAATTTACTATCTGATCCCTCTTTTTTTAAGACTTGACTTCTCCTTTGTAGGGACCAATAGGTTTGTGTGTGGAAAATTTATGCAAAAGCAATAAAAGCAGTCAGTGAAAGTGTTTTACGACATGAAATTACAGGAGACAAAGACCATTTTAAAGCAAGGATTGTCGAATGAAATCTACAGAAAAGCTTTGGCCCAAAGCATGGGATAACTTTAGCATGACAAAGGAATGAAAGGATATATTAAAAAGCTGAAACTGCTAATTTGAGTAACTAAAATCGAATAAGACATGTATGCAACAACAGCAGAAAACAAAGCATTTACATTATTAATAAGGAAATGTTGGCATCGAACAACACATTTTAAGACCAAAGCAACAGTCAAAAGGTGAAGCTTGACTTTGACGTTAGCTTCTGCTGATCGGTCTATATAAAGTTAAAAATTAAAAAAAAAAAAAAGTTATGCCTTAGCAAGTTAATTTGATTAGATTAATTTTAAAAAACGAATTTTAATAATTTTAAATTTTAAAATCAATAATTTACTTTTTTTTATATAAAAAATTCATATTTCTTTTGAATGAATATTTTAGCAAAAGAGTATGGAGAAGATAATTTGATATCAAATTTTGAACCTTAATTATCATAACTAAGAAATTTGTGGTATTATCGTGTTGACAATTGCAATATTATGTGAAAATTTGATATATTTTCCCCATTTTTTTCCATTATTTTATCATTTGACTTGAAAGACGGCCAAAATGGTGGGAGATTCTGCTGATTTTCCTTTGGCATTTGATGAACCCCCAAGTAAAATATTAACCGATAATAAAGACACGGAGGATGAATATAATAGCTGTCTAGATGAGGTCTGTTGAAAAACATCTTTTGATTAGCCAATTAGGTAAAAGTTATAACATTGACCAAACACAATGCACCATTTTTGGCATCTTAGCCATTTCATGGCGTGGTGACCTTTTTTTTTTTTTTTTTTTTTTGAAAAATTCTCAGCCAATCTAGAAAATTTCTTTTGATTACTCGTCATCTCGAATATTACGATTATTATTATTTGGGCATTTATCAGCCTTATTTAATAATAATGATTAAAAAAATTACAAATTAAAATTCATACTTAAACAAATCTTAATAAAAAAATTATAAATATTAAATTTTAAAATTATTAAATATCATCTTTTAAAGATAATAATATAAATCAATTAAATTAAAGCCTTAAGTTCTCTATGAACCTTTATAAAACGAACCTTATTTTATCAGTGCGAAATTTAAGTTTTGACCGCAGTAGCATATTTTGTAAAAGTTTTGAACAAAAAAAAAATTTCTATGTAAGGAAGCTCTCTATTAATATATAGTATTAATACTATAACTGAATAATAGTAGTAAAAATGCCTAAAGATGAGAAATTAAGGATTTTTTATGGAAAAAAGTATCAGATAATTGGACGCAAAGTTCCTTGAGGTAGGAAAAAAAGTGTGAAAAGAAAATGGAAAGCCCACAATTACGAACCAACAGTTGTGGATTAAACGCCCAACTATTCGGACTATGGTATTGCTGCAACGCCAGGGGCGGGGTCCAGTCAGAAGGTCAAACTTTACTGCTTCAGCCTTGGAAACGCCTTGATATTTCAGGGTTTGACAAGAGATTCCACCCTTGGACCGGACAAACCTGGCATAAGCATAAGCCAAGCTGGAAATTTGTAGTCGAGGAAGTTCAGCTGTAGACAAGGATGCATTTCATGACTAGGAAAAGCAGACAAAGCATTTAATAAGGCAAGCATGTCTTTCCCAAATCATGGAAAGTTAATTTTCGTTTCCAACAGAAGAATCATCATGCGATGCAACTTTAGCAGTATTTTTCAAAATAGGGTTGTCACTTGTCACTTGTCATTTTATCAGAGCTAGGATTGTCCAATGTTGGTTAAACAGACATCCGGGAGCCAACAAATATGAAGCATATTAAAAGAAATGGAGATTCCACACTATCATATTCGAGCAACATATGAATTGGCCTGAGTGACATATCTCACCCTTCGATATGGATTATAGGAACTAGATTTCTTAGCTATCTACAAGTATTTCACCTGCATCACAAGAGCAATATTAATATTAGGTATCTTTGAAGCACTTAAAACACAGAATTAGGGTTTGGAAACGTTGCTGAGACTTGAACCCTTGTCCTCTGTACTATCAAGCTGCTTGAGAGTTGGCTTTTACTACTAAACAACAATCCTTATATTGTTCAACTTAAAATCATATTTATTGGAAGCATTCAAGATGGCAATAATAAAGACCTGATAGGTGATATGGTTATTCAGAAGAGTTGTGGTCCCTGATCTAAGTGTAGAGATTAATGATCGTGCTTGCACTTTTGTTCCGGAGAGGGAGAGAGGTTGGACACATAAGGAATTATCCTAAACAGGGTCCCAAGACAAGTCATATAGGCATTCTCCGTCATGAATACAGGCAACTGATCAAGACTAATTGCTCCATGGAAATGGTCAATATTTAAATAGCATAATATAAAAAAGCAATAAGATTTATGAATTCCTTATTTATAACCTGCTTCATTTTAAACCTCTTTCATCCCAGTTTTATCATAGATCTGCTAGAACTTTTGCTTTTTATCAGCCACAATACAGAAGCCTAATTCCTCTAGGCAACTAGCACTAAGATGCTATCTTTACCTGAAGCCTTGAAGCATTATACATCGGTATTGTGAAAGTCATGCTAACTGTTCCAGCTTCCTTTATGATGTTTGCTGAATTAAACCATAAATATTTCATCAATTAAAAATGAATCTAACACATTCTCAAATGAAGTTATCACATTGAGAAGACAAAATTTAGAAAAAAGAAATTTATTTTGAAAAAAATAAATTATGGATAAGACATACCATGTGATGCCTGTGAAAATGTCAGCTTTGCACAAAGTGTATGTTCAGATCCACCATCTGTCAAGCATTAAAAAATGATGACTATATTGAAAGGGAAAAAGATTCCACATAACTGAATTATTTGATGGTGAAAAACATCTCAAACCATCTGCAAAAACTTTTACCTTCTTTCAAGTTTCTTGTTTGCTTCTTTAAAATCTGTTCTTTGCTCAGCTTCAGGTTAAAACTCAAAACTAGCTCCAAAAATTACTAAGTATCATAAAAGATGTAAACTACAGAAATATACCCATTTACCCCAACACTTACAATATTGACAATTGGAAAAGGAAATACAACAATTGTGGCATTTGTACAACAATTGTGTTCGCAGTTATGTTAGCCGGGAACTCTGCACTTACTTTAAGAATCACTTCAGCCTAAAACTTCAGTAGGAAAGCATAAATAACTGAAGCAGGAACAATGCCCTAGAATTTCAAATTTATTCTAGAACTAAATGAATTATTTATATATGAAATAAGTTTTTTTTATATCATTATTTGTAGAAAATATTACATGCTTTGGAAATATAAAGAAAATGATTTAATGAAATCATCATGATGTATGGAAAGTCAAGAAAGACAAGCTTGCCTTAAGGTGTCCTGCTTCTTCAATTAAACAGTTAATATGGAAAGGAGGCTAGAACTCCTGTGTTCTTCAGTAGTTCATGACTGGAAATTCACCATCCGAAGTTACCTGAAAGATAATAGCAGAATGAAACACGCACCTAAACAATGGAAAGACATTGAATAGTCTCTTAAATGTCATTACAATTTTCTAGCTGCTATCATCTAAGGTTCACTCACCAGCCAGAGTCCTGTCCATATCAAAACTATCAAGATGCACTGATTCATGAAAATTTACGATCGTCAAATATAACTGCCCCAGCACCAGATGAAATCCTATAATCTGCCAGAAAAAGCAGACCCAGTGGAATGGCAAATCATTGAATTGAAATAGTGGATGAAAGGTAGAGACACAGATTAGGTTAAACGATATTTTGCCAAGAACAATCATATCAAAGATAATAGTTGACATGTTAGAGTTGAAAATCATGGCTGAATATCATATACACTCAGACAAGGAAAAGGAAATAATTCTCTCGAAACAACCTTAAAATAATAACTCCATCAAGCACAAAAACAGTTATAATAATCAGCAATAGTTAACTATTTGCAATGAAAAACTTGAAGGCAGCACCTCCATGGAAAGAGAATTCTCAAAAAAAAAAAAAAAAAAACAGTATAATCAATAGGGATGTTAGAAAGCAGTACAATAGACCAATCCCCCTCCTCTTCCGATGCTCAGGTCTTCATTAAGAGCTAATCGAATTTCTGGATTTCCTGTTTGAATAGTGCCATCAATCTTGGAGTTAGTATATATCCCTGTGTAAAACATCAATGAACTGGCTAACAGTGACTCATACAATTATGCACTACATCAAGGCAGTGTGTGTGTTTGTGTGGACGGTAACTTTTTGTTTAAAACAAATTTAACTGGAAATAAACTACCGGAGAGAGAGAGAGAGAGAGAGAGAGAGAGAGAGAGTAAAGAAACTTTGAAGATAATGGGGAGAGAAAGAACAGAATGGTAGTTATTTAACTTTAGTTTGCTCAAAAAGAGAGAGAATGACAATAACTGGGTAAAAGAAGTTTAAAAAATAGGATAGTATTTCAACTAATCCACAAAAATTTAATTAAACCCAGTTGGTCTGACACCAACTCAACCACTAGCTTTATGTCTTGTATTAGATTATAAAGTGTCTAATAACTAGACATTTGAACAATTTAAGATGTTGAATGCAAATAAAAAGAGTGCAGCTACTGACACTAGAGCTAAATGTGACACTGATTTTCTCAATTATATCCTCAAAATTTTCCTCTCTTCCTACCTCCAGGCTCATTTGCTACAACAGACTTTGTAACGGCTGTCCCAGGCATTCTTTTGGTTCCTTGCTGCATGCATCCAAATTCAATAAATCAATTGCTTCACAAGTGCATGTTAATAAATAAGAGAGAACCATTTATAAGATGGTTGATAATCAGGTAACCTCATCATACCATAAAGATGGCAGCAGGGCCAAGAGGTTGCAAACGTGCAGCATTAACCACAATTGGCTCATTAAATACATAGGACTTCAAACCTTCAGTAGATGTTGTTTGCACATAACCAAAGTCCTAGTGAAAAAAAGAAAAAGTACAGTATCTGTTTAAATATTTTCTGAAGAACAATAACAATGCAAAATCAACAGTAAATATTGCACCGGGGTAAAAAAAAGCTTAGCAGATTTCATTGGAGAAAATGTTAAATTTTCTAAAGTAAAAATAAATTAAAAAATAAAGCCTATTATAAACTCATATTGACTTCTTGAGCTAAGCCATGATGCAATAATCCCTTAGCAGTAGGTTAAGAGTAGACAAGCCTTTTAAATAGAAAAAATATACCACTGAAAAGTTAAGTATGAAAAGAACTTATAATTACTTCGTCAAGCACCCCCCAAAAAAATAATTAATAAATAAATAACATAAATAAAGACCCCCTTTTCTAGGCAATCAAGTTGAATATTTAAAATTAAATTTTATCAACGGCTTTGATTAATAAACAACTAAGCATGTTTGAGATGCAACTGGAGATACCAAGTTTATCTACACTCCAAAAACAATGTATATTTTTCACATTCAACAAATTTATAAGAATAAAAAGAATATTTTCTTCATTCAATCACAACAAGAATAAAATAATTCACTTTTGAAAGCAGCAATTCCTTACATGATTCCATTAGGGTAATTCTTCTGAGAATTGATCTTTGATGAAAGGCAAAGGAAGCCAAAAACTCCAGAAAAAAAACCCAAAACAGAAGCAACCACATGACAGGCAGCCAATCTCATAACAAGCTTCATAGATGTATCTACTATGAATATGCTACACAATTTTTGAACAGAAGTAGAGTTTCCAGGCAACATGCATCACAAAATCTAGTTTTTTATGTTGGAAACTTGTATGCAGCGCATGCATTACACAACAGTTGCAGCTTGATTCAGAGTTACTAAACTGTCTTGGCCTACAATTTTATCACCCAAAAAAAGCCATTGACCTTACAACAAAAAGAAACATCACATTATTCTGACCAGGACCTAGATCCAAGAAGAATGATCCTCAATGTTAAATGAGCTGAACTAAAAAAAAATTCCAACTTCTAGCACTGGAATTGAAAGTAATGGCTGAATTATTAGTAACTTAGTATTCGAGCAATGCGGATCTTAGACTTAAGCTTTTTTGCTTCTCTAGGAAATCCAGAATAACGAAGACCAAGCAGGACAGCCCGTTGGGCAGACTTCAGTATTTTCATGCCACTTCGCAAGCAAGATAGCAGTAGCTTGGCCGCAGAATGGTACCTTCCATCTCTGCAAAGATTGTGTACCAAAGAGGAGTAGGTAAACGAATCTCTTACCTCCATTGATTTATAGACTTTCATTGCATCATCAATCTGACCGACTTTACACAACCCATCAACCAAACAATTAAATGCAACCAAGTTTGAATCAAAGCCCATCATATTCATGTACCTCAAATGTTGTGCAGCCCCATCAATGTTACCTGCCTTGCACAATCCATCAATCATTATCGTGTGCGTATACTTGTCACATTCCAACCCCTTTTTTTCTATCTCATCCAACAACTTATAGGCTTCTTCCAACTTACCATCTTTACAATACATATTAATTAGGGTGTTATAAGACACTATGTCAAGCTCAATACCAGTCCTCATCATGTCCTCCCTGTATTCAGTTGCCTCTTTTACTTTACCTATCTTAATTAGAGCACCGATAACCGTACAATAAGCAAAACCATCAAAAGTATACCCTTTACACTTCATCTCCAACAATAACTCAAGCCCTTCTTCAAACTTCTTCTTCCTAAGAAGGCATTTCAATATGGTAGTGTAAGTTATGGCATTGGGAACATGACCCGATGCCCATATTTCTTTAAGAATCCTCCTTGCTGACTCTAATCTACCAATCTTGCATAATCCATTAACAAGAATATTGTAAGTCACTAACTCTGGCACAAATCCATGTCGTTGTAAATCCCTAAACAACATAAAAGCATTCTTGGTATACCCATTCTTGCAAAGACCATTCATCATAATGTTAAAAGTAGCCGCAGAAGGTGAATGTTCACCAAGTATAATATCCCGAAAAACCCTATTGGCCACATCTGGTTTTCCTGACTTGAAGAAGCCATGCATCAAAGTATTGTAACTCCAAACATCAGGGGCTATGCCCCTTTGAATCATTTCATCAAACAGATCAAGAGACCGAGCTATTTGGCATTTCCTAGTGGCACCAGCTATCAAAGAATTGTAAGAAATAATATCTGGGGTAATCCCAGCCTCTCCCATTCTATGAAGAATACAGTAACCAGCATCAATTCCAATGACACGACAGTATGCATCAATAAGACAATTGTAAGTTACAACATCAGGGAGCACTCCCAATCTTATACCATCAATAATAACAGTTTCAGCTTTCTCCAATTTATGGGCTTTGCATAATGAAGCTACACAAACATTCAATAATCTAGTTGATAATCTACGAACCATTCTTCTTTTTCTTTTCATTTTCTCAAACACATTCAACAAAACCTGCCAAAAGGAGAAGGATATTCATGAGCATTAATAATTTCTATAGCTTATATCTATATCAAAATTATATACTAGTATTATATATATATGTAATCATTATATTATAACAAATTGGGAAGAAGAGGAGGTGAGTATAGACTACATAAATGGGAAAAGAAAAGGTACCTTTATCTTGGATTACATGCTAATGGGCAACGGACGAGAAGAAAAAAAAAAAACAAAAACTCCACTTGTGCGCATTAACCGGTGGCGTGTCTGGATCTCCGGTGGCAAACTTGTCAGTTAGAAGCCTCGACACTGCAAGCATTACTGTGTTTGATTTCGAGTGTAAGATTGGAAGATATTAGGTTGGGAACTGTACTTCCGAGTTATAGAGCTTCAGTTGAGTCCATCGCACTAAAATGAAAGATTAAAAGTCTTAATTGCCCTCATCATTTTTTTTAATTACAAAAATATTTCTACTGAATACTAAATATTATATAATATGTATTTTTTAATTTGTAAAGAAATATACAATAATAATTAGTTCACATATATTGCAATTTTTAATTCGTAAAATAAAAACATATTTGTACATATATTAAATAATTTTTTTTATTTTTAATATCCTTAAATATATTATTATTAGTAACTTTTAAAAAAAATTATTATTTTGATAAAAATATTTTAATAAGTTTTGTAGATTATCAAATATATTAATAAATCATTACATTATATAATATATAACTTTAATATAATATTTTTAATAATTAATTTTCATTTTCACATCTCTTTTTATGTTTATATTCAAACATATATATAATTTTTAATTTTATAATTATAATAATTAATTTCATCATTATTATTATTTTTAATTTTATTGTTAATTCAAATAGACCTCTACAGAGGCAGACAGAGGAAGTAGGTTTGGAGGCTATTGGTGTGAGGATTACCCTAGGAAGTAGGTTTGGAGGCTATTGGTGTGAGGATTGCCCTCTGCGTGGAGACAGGCCGGCAAGTTTGATTTGTTATCGACCCATAAACAGTAATGCTCCTGCTAACCTGGATATGGATAATAATAAGCAAGTACCAAAATCAGTACCTAGGAAAGTAAGGAAGAACGGGTTAAGGAGTCTAAAAGCTGCTTAGGGCTTAAATGATATGAATAACGGAGATCCAGGCTCTTTGAATATTTCTTGGGCCAAGGACGATGATAGTGGAGTCAGGCTTAGTGTCATGAGTCAATTTTGTATAAGATCATGATTGAAATTTAAGTTATCATGAGTCATTTATATATAAGATCATGATCGGATAGATCTCTTGTGTTAAAAAAAATATCTTTATTTCAAATATTGTAATGGTTACTGGTAGCATAGCTTTAAAATCTTTAAGGCTCTTTAGAGGGTGAGTCGGTAGCGTAGTGTTGCGCTGTCTCACCGGTTGCTATACGAGCTTAGGCTACCCATCAAGGGTTGCCCCTGGCCCTGGTGACGGTGGGAGGTCTTGATGTATGATTCCCGTTTATAATAAAACTCACCCCGATTTAATGTCTCGATTGTTGCCTCGATGTGTTTTTCTTTTTCTCGATGCGAATATGCCTTCTTGTGTGTGTGCTTGAGATTGATCTCGATATGTCGTGCCTTATTGTGAATGCTTGTGACTAACCATGGCTTATGATTATTTGTTCAGATATCGATCTATTGAAGGCTGACTTGGTTGAGAGCGCCCATTCAAGTGTCGCACGGTCTATTGCTTGTTGAGAGAAAACTTAGCCCGTGACACGTGGTATCAGAGCACGGTTGAGAAGTGCTAGAGAAAATGAATGAGATAGCCACAAGTGGTGGATCGGATCATCAATAGAGAATTGAAGAACTTGAGGTCGCGGTGGCCGCAATGAAAACTCATATGGTGACGAAAGATCGAGTGAGAGAGATCGAAACAACCCAGCGGGAGTTATCCAATACTCTCCACAATGTGAGCGAAGAGGCTAGAGATGCCTCGAACATTCTCCAAAAGGAGTTTGAGGAGCTCAGAGCACAGGTGAGCATCCTACAAATGGCTGTGGCCAGATCGGGTTCGAGCTCGATGAACAAGGGACAAAGGCCCAAGGTATCGGAACCTCGATGCTATAAGGGGGCAAGGGATGCTAAAGAACTTGAAAATTTCTTGTTTGACATGGAACAATACTTCTGAGCTGTACACACAAGTTCAGAGGAAGACAAGGTGACAATGGCTTCGATGTACCTCGCAGGGGATGCCAAGCTGTGGTGGCGCTCCAAGTTTATCAATGACGAGTGCCTGATTAAGACTTGGACGGATCTGAAGCGAGAATTGAAAAACTAATTTTTTTCGGAGAATGTGAAGTACATGGCTCGAAGGAGACTTCGAGAGTTGGTGCAAACCGAAACGGTGCGAGAGTTCGTAAGGAACTTTTCTACCCTGATGCTGGATATTCGAGACATGTCCGAAAAGGACAAGATGTTCTATTTTTTTGAGGGCCTCAAGCCTTGGGTGAGGACAGAACTACAAAGGCAGAAAGTGCAAGATGTGGCCACGGCTATGGCTGCAGCTGAACGTCTTCACGATTACAATGATGGCTCTTCAAAATGAAAAAATCCTCCATCAACTAGCAGTAGCTTTAACTTTGAGAGTGAGGGAAAGATGACTAGGTTGGACCGACCCTTCAGTGGGGGATCAGATAGGAGATCCTTTGGGCGAGATAGCACTCAGCCCAAGACAAGCAACGCAAAAATTTTTAAGCCTAGGCAACCGCTAGCTTGCTTTCTTTGCAAGGGGCCGCATCGAGTGGCTGAATGCCCTCACCGGGGAGCCCTTAATGCCTTAAGGACCTCATCTCAAGAGTTTGTAAAAGCGCCAAAGAGCGTTGAAAAAGCTGAAGAGGAGCCAGCCAGGATGGGTTCAATAAGGTTCTTCAGTGCCCTCCGTACCCAATTGAACACTATAAAGAAAGAGCAAAGTAGAGGCTTGATGTACGTGAACTTAACAATCAATAAGAAAGCCACCAAGGTCATGGTGGATACGGGTGCAACCAACACTTTCATCACATCAGAAGAAGTAAAAAGGTGTGGTCTTTAGATTAGTAAAGACTGTGGACGAATGAAGGCGATTAATTCGCCAGCCTTTACGATCAGTGGAAGCTCTAAAAGTGTGACAACCCGATTGGGGCCATGGGAAGGGAAGGTAGACTTTACAGTTTCCTCCATGGATGACTTTGATGTTGTCCTCGGATTGGACTTCATAATGTTGGCTCAGGTCATCCTTATCCCCGTCGTTAGCTGCTTGTTGTTCTTAGGGGAACACCCATGTATGGTGCCAGCTAACATCTTACCAAAGAGTGAGAAGAAAATGATTTCAGCTTTACAGTTCAAGAAAGGGGTAAAGAGAGGAGAACCCTCCTTTGTGGCGGTGTCAATTTACAAAGAAGGGTCGAAAGTAAAACCAATACCTGATGGTGTGGGAAAAGTGTTGGAATAATTTGAAGAGGTGATGCCAGAGATGTTGCCTAAAGTTCTACCCCCTCGACGAGCAGTGGACCATGAAATTGAGCTCCTCTCAAGAGTGAAACCCCATGCTAGAGCACTCTACCGCATGGCTCCATCAGAGTTGGCCGAACTAAGAAAGCAGTTAGATGAACTGCTACAAGCCAGGTTCATCAGACCATCAAAGGCTCTTTTCGGAGTGTCAGTGCTATTTCAAAAGAAGCACAACGGAAGTTTACGATTATGTGTTGACTACAGGGCCCTGAACAAAGTCACCGTAAGAAACAAATATCCCATTTCCCTTATAGCAGACCTGTTTGATCAACTGAGTCGAGCTAAATACTTTCCAAATTAAACTTGAGATCTGGCTACCATCAGGTCAGAATCGTTAAGGGAGATGAGCCAAAGATCACTTGTGTGACACGGTATGATACATTTGAATTTCTTGTTATGCCTTTTGGATTGACCAATGCTCCTGCCACATTTTGTACATTGATGAATCAGGTGTTCCATGACTACCTAGATAAATTTGTAGTCATCTATTTAAACGATATAGTGGTATATAGCTCCACTTTGAAAGAGCATCAAGAGCACCTGCATCAGGTACTTCAAAGATTACATGACCACCAGTTATACGTAAAAAGAGAGAAATACGCGTTTGCTCAACCCAAATCCACTTCTTCGGTCACATTGTCGAACGTGGCCACATTCGAATGGACATGGAAAAGGTTAGGGCGATTAAAGAGTGGACTACACCAAAGAATGTTAGTGAACTTCGCTTATTTTTAGGACTAGCCAACTATTATAGAAGGTTTGTGGAAAGGTACTCTCACAAGACCACAGCCCTCACGGAGTTATTGAAGAAGGAGCACAAATAGTGTTGGACCAACGAGTGCCAAGAGGCCTTTGAGAGATTGAAAGATGCTATTATGAAAGATCCCATCTTAGCTCTTCCCGATATTGAAAAGCCTTTTGAAGTTCAGACGGATGCATCAGATTTTGCTATTGAAGGTGTGCTTTTACAACAACATCACCCGATAGCATTTGAAAATAGGAAGCTAAGCGAAGCGGAGAGGAAATATACGGCCCAAGAAAAAGAGCTCCTGGCGGTGGTTCATTGCTTGAGGGCTTGGCGACATTACTTGTTGGGTTCACACTTTGTCGTGAAGACGGACAATGCAGCCGTTAGCCACTTTCTCACCCAACCAAGGCTTACGGTGAAACAAGCTAGGTGGCAGGAATTTTTAGCGGAGTTTGACTTTCACCTTGAGCATACCGCTGGAAAGACCAATCAAGTGGCGGATGCATTGAGCAGGCAATCATAGTTGGCGGCCCTCAGAAGAATGGCCCCAATGGCAACCAATAGAGCCACTACCGACATTCATAAGTTGATTGGAGATCATCTAGGGAAGGACCTGCAAGCATGTGCCATCTTGAAGCTAGTGGAAGAAGGGAAATCCAAATACTTCTGGCAAGAAAATGGTGCCTTGTGGACCAAGAGGCCTCGAGTGTTTGTGCCGAGAGCAGGAGGGCTGAGATAGATGCTGATGAGGGAATGTCATGACACCCCATGGGCGGGACACCCGGGTTGGCAACGCACTTTGGCGTTATTGAAACAGGGATACTATTGGTCTCACATGTGACAAGATGTGATGGACTACACGAAGACTTGTCTCATTTACCAACAAGACAAGGTTGAAATGAGGAAACCTGCGGGTATGCTTGAACCACTACCAGTACCCATCAGACCGTGGGAAAGCATCTCACTCGATTTCATTTCGAGCCTACCCAAGGTTGGTGACCTTGGAGCTATGTTGGTAGTAATTGATCGGTTCTCTAAATATGCCACATTCATTCCTACTCACAAGTATTGCACTGCGGAAGACACAGCTCGACTATTGTTCAAACATGTGATCAAATACCGGGGCCTCCCTTAAAACATTGTCAGCGATCGAGATTCAAGATTTACGGGGTCCTTCTGTTGAGAACTTTTTAAGATATTGGGGTTCCAACTCAACATCTCCTCAAGCTATCACCCTCAAACCGATGGTCAGACAGAACGGTTCAACGGATTATTAGAGAATACTTGAGGCATTTTGTTCAAGCCAATCAAAAAGACTGGCCTTCATTATTGGACGTGGCTCAACTCTGCTTTAACTCCAACAAAAGCTCTTTCACCAACAAGAGCCCATTTGAAGTGGTCACCGGATAATTACCAAGGCTACCCCACACTTCCTTGGAATAATATGGAGGAAAGAATTCGAGAGCCTTCAATCTCAGCAAAGAGTGGAAACAAAACACAGAGATTGTGTAAGCTTACTTGGAGAAAGCATCAAAACGGATGAAGAAATGGGCAGACAAGGGTCGTAGAGCTCAACAATTTTGAGTAGGTGATTTGGTTCTTGTCCGACTAGTTCCTGAACAAACCAAGTTTCTGAAAAAGAGAGATCGTAGACTGGTGCACAAATATGAAGGTTCAGTAAGGGTCTTTTCCAAGGTGAGGAATGCTTCTTACAAAATTGACCCACCAAAGTGGATGAAGGTGCACCCAGTATTTCATGTGAGCAACTTGAAATCTTTCCATGCAAATCCTACAGATGCTAGCCGAAGGGAGCCAACCAGAACTGCCATCACCATGAAGCCACCCTCAGAGCGTCGAGTCGAAGAAATCTTAACTGACAGGAAAACCAAGATATCTCGAAAACTAGTTCGAGAATACTTAGTGAAGTGGGAGGGATTAGGACTAGAAGAAACCAGCTGGAAGAGAGAGCACGACCTCCAGAGATTTCAAAGGAAGATTAAGGAATTTCAAGCCAGCAAGTCGACGAGGACGTGGATAGAATATGTGGGGGGAAGATGTCATGAGCCAACCTTGTATAGGGCCATGACCGAGACTTAGGTTGCCATGAGCCACCCATGTATAGGGCCATGGTCGGGTAGATCCCTTGTGCTAGAAAAAGTGTCTCCATTTCAAACATTGTAATGGTTACTGGTAGCATAGCTCTAAAATCTCTAAGACTCTTTAGGGGGGTGAGCCGACAGCATAGTGTTGGACTATCTCACCGGTTGCTATGCGAGCTTAGGCCACCCACCAAGGGCTGCCCCCTGGCCCTGGTGACGGTGGGAGGTCCCGATGTATGATTCCCGTTTATAATAAAACTTACCCCGATTGAATGTCCCGATTATTGCTTCAATGTGTTTTTCTTTTTCTCGATGCAAATATGCCTTCTTGTATGTGTGCTTGAGATTGATCTCGATATGTTGTGCCTTATTGTGAATGCTTGTGACTAACTATGGCTTATGATTATTTGTTCAGATATCGATCTATTGAAGGCTGACTTGGTTGGGAGCGCCCATTCAAGTGTCGCACGGTCTATTGCTTGTTGAGAAAAAGCTTAGCCCGTGACACTTAACGTGGAAAAGCCTGATGATGATTTGATGATCTGAGCTAGTATGTCTAAACCAGAGGCTGAAAGGATAAATATGATGATGTGAGCCAGTCGTTAAAGAAGAAAGATCATAAATTAAACTAAAGGGCTTTCTAAATACATCACTCAAATTTTTTTTATAGAGATCATAAATTTTCTTTCAAAAATATTCATATATTAAATATTAAATTTATTTTTTAATAAATTATACTTTTACCTCCGTACATTTCATATACTCATTTAAAAATAAAAAAAATTTTAAAAATAAAATTTTGAGAAGCGTTAAGATTTTTTAAAAATAAATTTTTGAAAAGTTTAAGGGTTTATCAAAAATAAATATTAAAAAAATCTTTAGATTTTTGAATTGTAAAAAATTTTAAAATTTATTGAAAATGAATCTTAAAAAAAAATTAAAATTTTTGAATTTTTAAGAGGCTATAACTTTTTATAAAAATAAATTTTCAAGAAAATTTTAAATTTATCAAAAATTCATTTTCAAAAAAAATTTACTTAAATATTATCGTAAAACTTGGTTTATATTCACGTACATTTCATCCAAATTTCAACCAAAATTTCAATAAAAATGAACCTGAAACCATGACCACCCACAGATGATGAAGTTCAACAGGTTGACCTGGGAATGGAAAGCGACCCTCGCCTAATCTTCTTAAGTCCCGTCTGTAGTCGTAGTACTCGGCTCGTCGCTACTTTGATTCAAAAGGTAACCGACGGTTCCCGACTTTCTCCGGTTTCCGCAACCGTAACCATTTGTCACTCCAATTACTTCATCCAAAAACCTTTTTTTAGAGCTATAAAAAAAATCAAGGATAAGTTTGCACTCTAGAAGCGGTAGCTTCCCGCTTCCTTCATTCCTACTGCTTCTTTCGGCCCTTCCCTTTTCTAAACCTGCCTCAAAAAATGTACAAAGTGGACCGTTGTTTGGCTGACCCTCTCATTCCCATTCGAGTTGAGTGCCGTGGTTTAGCCAATGAGGCAGCGGTATCCTAGCGGCTTAAAAAATTTGACACCGAATTCGGTTAGGCTAATGAAGAAGAAGTTAGTTAAGTGTCCGCAGTCCGAGAAATCAGTATAAAACTAAAAAACACGACTGATTTGAGGTTAGTTTGATGACTTTAGGATTGAAAGTGAAGAGGGAAGAAGAGAGAATGAAGGAGTGAAAGGGTAGGAAGGAAAAAATAAAAAATGAGGGATGGAGTGTATTTAATAAAATTAAAAAATTTAATTTTGAATTTGAGATGTATTTAATAGTGAGCATATAAAAAAAAAAGCGTAAATAAAATTCTCCTTAAATTAATTAGTGGTTAAAACATTAGTTTAATTTTCAAAAACTACCCATGAATGGAGATAATGTGCAAAGTACATAATTAAATTAGGTCATTTGCTTAAATTATGAATGTTTAATCACTTGTTAATTAATTTTTGCATAATATAATCTAGTAATATCTTGATGAGTATATAGTAATTGAAGAATTAAATATATCATCTAATATGATTATTTATTTTTTACGTGTTTATTTATCTTTCGTTATTTTTTAATTATTATATGAGTAATTTTTTAAATACGAATATTTTATTATAATTTCAAAAAAGTGATAAATATTTTTTAAATACATAAAAAAATTATGTGATATAAACTACTTTAAAAATCATACTATAAAGTTTTTATGATTAATAATTATAATTACAATATTTTATACTAAATTAAACAAAAAAAATTTACTATCATGATAACTACAATAATCACGAATATTTTTATTATATTTGTAATTATGATAAATAGACATGATAAAAAATGTGATAATTATCACAATTTAAACCCTTAAATTTAAGACTTTTTATTATTCGTCTTAGAACACTAATATTGATAAAATGTATTTTGAAAATCAAATCTAAACAGGTGTAATTATATTTATCGTAAAAAAAAAATTTTTTGTTCAACATTAATATTTTTTTCTTGGCAATCAATGTTTTCACTGGTTGATTCAATTAAAAAAATTAATAATCAATTTAATTAATTAACTTTAAAAGTAATCCCGAAAATATTTTTAATAATCGATCATAGTCAGATTAATTTATTTCGATTTTGATAGGTCGATTCCATTAGTTAACAGATAGTCTGGTTTCACAAAAGAACAGGAACAATGTCTATTGATTTACCAAATGCATTTTACTCCTAAACTGATCAAATGAAGGTAAGAACAATATTGTTTGTTGAAAGGCTTAAATAGATTAGTCATCGAAGTTTCAAAAAACTGGAAAACCTGAAGGCCCAATTTTGCCTCATAAATTATATGAAGCCACCGCACCAACACATTAAACAGGAGGGAGGGCAACTGAATTTGAAATGCTATCTGATGCATGTGAGGGATTGAGGGAAAATTCCAAGTTTTTTCATGTTCTTAACCCATCCATCCAATATTTTACTTCACATATTTTCAATTTTTCTTTCTTTTTTTTTTTTTTTGTTAATCCTTAATTGCTTTAAAACTTTTAGCTAAATGGTGTTCCAAACTACTTGACAGCAGACATAGTCGGAGCTTTTAACGATAATCTTATATTATCAATTTTTTTCCCAAAAGTGCTTTTTGTTTTCTAAAGCATCAAAGTAACAACTGATCTGAGCCCCGAAGGCTCCTCATTCTTTAATGGTTAGAGATTTTTAAGCATGGTAAAATTACATATTTGCCATTGTAAAAATGGAAAAATTAAATATTTGCCATTGTAAAAAAAACATATTATAAGGGTCCATTTGGTATTTACTTTCACACTCCGATTTAACCAAATAAACTTACAATATTAACTAATTAAAATTAAAATCGATTAAATCAAATCAAATTAACTAAATTTAATCAGTTTCGATTGATTAATTCAGTTTGGAGCAATTTTTGCTCTCCTTACGTTGAGCAACCAATCTCTAAACTCCTTTATGCAATGCATCTTGAGCGGATCCCAGGTTCAAATGGATAGTGGCAAGGTTCCAAATATTTTTCCAATGACATGCATCTTCCTTCACGAGACCTGCAAAAGAAAGTTCGAACACAATCTAATAAGGTGATAATTTGATTCTCTTCTATATAAAACAAAAGTAAGGGTACAAATACACATAATATACATCAAAATTTCACTTTTGACCCTGCATTATATATATAATATATATATATGCATATTACCAAGGGCTAAGTGTAGGTTCTTCAAAATGTTATGCGCAAGTGTGAGGTTTTTTTTTTTTTTTCTTTTTTTGCAAGTGAAGTGAGAAAAAGGGCATTTGAAAATGCCCGTCTTGGAGCTAAAACTGTAATTCTATTTTACTAAAGTATTGATAATTAAAGGTGATAATAGTTTGGATCAAATCAAAATTAATTTAATTTTTTTATATTATATAATATTATAAAATTTTAAAATGTGATTTGAATCTGAATTGAATCGAATTTTATTTATTTGATTCGATTTAATTTATTGATTTTTAAATTTTAAATTTTTATTTTTATATACTATTTTATATAAAATTTTAATATATTTAAGTAAATTTTGATATAAAATTATTATATTTATTTTATAAAAATTTAAAATATATATAAAAATTAAAATATATATATAATTTGGTTTAATTCAGTTTTTTTTTTAGTTTTTTATTTTTTAATACAAATTTAGTATATACATTTAATATCTGACCTTGATACAAATTGAATAAGGAAACAAATCAATCCAAACTAGGGAAGGTATTTTGATTCATACCTAACAAGTTTCGATCCGATCCAATCTTTTATGATTATTTTTTTTTTTGAAAATTGAATATTGGATCGGGTGATAAAAGAAAAAAATTTGAGGTTGGATCAAGGTCGGGTTTGCCCCGACTCGATATATATAAAAAATTATTTTTAATTAATTAATTTTATATTTATATATATATATATTTAATTTTATATTTATATTAAAAATAATATTTTATTAATTTCGGATCATGTATGATTTTATATAATGTTAGATTGGGTCGGATTAGGGTATGAAAAAAAATTTTAAAAAAAATTAGGTCGTTCAGGGTGAGCAAAAACCCGCCCAACCCGGCTTGTTGCCATACATAATTTAAACCAAACCGAATATTATGATTTTGAATTGGTTTTCAATTTTTTTCAAAATTTTTTTCTCAACCCTACCGATGATTTAGTTATGCTAATTTGCTTGTGCTCCTAAAGATAAAAATCCAACATTTATAATTCAGTGGACAGACATAAGGATGGAAAGCAGCAATGCTAGATAACCTTGTAAAATTATGGACAGAGCAGGGAAAGCAGTTACCTGTGATTCTTTTAGACGCTTGGTCCTGCAAGGCTAGGTCTTCCATGTCAAATACCTTCTGCAAAATCCAATTGAGACAGTTCAATCCAATATCGTTTGGACTTCATCCATCAATCCCTGCCATTACATGCCTATCACCCAAATTGATTTGATAAGAAATTTAATGCTAAGGAGGGAAAGAGCATCTTTATATGCTAATGCAACTTTCAACATAATAACTACCCATAGGAGAATGATGTCTGCCAAGGTAGCTTTTGCAGAACAATTTAATAGAAGGAAATGCAACAAGCAGAAGGGGTGAATAAAGGTTATATCGACAAACAGCGGACGGATTACACAAGCTTTAAACCCCAACTCAACCCACAAAAGAATTTATGCAAGCTGATAGTTCTCTGGATTTGATTATGTCCAAACCTGGTTGTAAAAGACATTTATTGTTGATGAAATACAATTTGAAAAAAGTCAAACATAGCTACTTTGCACTTAATCACAAGATGGAATCAGATTAAGCATATTTTATTGCATCAGTACTTGTGATTGAGAATGTTGTTTGCATGGAACTGATTAGAAACATGGATTGAAATGCTTGGTAACCATACATGTTTATTGGACAATTTTAAGAATATTGGTTTTAGATAGGGATGGTAACACAACCTGCTTTTTTAGGATCGATTTTATTTTTAAATCAAATTTCGAATCAGATTGAATAATAATAAAAAAATTTTGAATTGAATTTTAAATAAATTCGATCCAGTATATATATTAATATTTTAATTAATTATATAATTTTTATATTTATATTAAATAATAATATTTTATTAATTTCAAATCGAATCAAATTTAAATATTATAAATATAAAATCAAATCAAATTCAGGACTAACAAAACTTCGATCCAATGCCATCCTAATTTTAGAGATAAAATGCCATACAAATCCACTTGTACGTACAAATTGGAACAGTAACAATTACAATTTCGAATGATAAATTCATGGCTTGACAACCATATGAAAGACATACATGGTGCACGTAAGTAGTTAAAATACCAATGTTTTTATTTTTCATTTTTTAAAAGGATTGAAAAAAAAAAAAACCATTAAGAACACTTTTGGTGACTGTTTTGAAATTTGTTCTCTATAAAATAAAAATGAACATGGGCTAAATTATAAAAATAAAATAAAAAAAATTTAATGCGAACAATTTGGAACTAAAGACATATCTCTTTTGTAAGAATTATGTTAAAACTTAATCGTTATATTTGATAATTCTTCAAACTTTGAAATAAAGTGTTTTAATATATTTAAAATTTAAATTTAAATATTTATTTTTATGAAAAATATAGTTTTTTTGTACAAAAAATCTATTTGATTGCTGTTTTGGTTTTTATTTTTTAATTAAAAATAACTAAAAAAAACCTAAATACAAATCACAAAAACCAAAAGCATTTACGTAAGGCGTTGATTTTGCCTTTAAACACAAAAAGGGGATGAGGAAAGTAAACGTTTAGGGTTGGTGAAGAGTTAAGTTAGAGTGAGTTTTTAATCATCTTGAATTTGATTTAATTTTTTGTATTTATCAAACTTGAACTTGATTCATTTTTTTTTCATACTCCGATTCGATTTGATTTAATTCGAAATTAATAAAATATTATTTTTTAAATATAAATATATAAAATATAAAAATATAAATAATTAAATAAATAATTAAAAAATTAATTTTTATATAAATATTAAGTCGAATTTATTTAAAATCTGAACTTGATCTTATCTCGATTTTTTTAATAATATTTGATTTGATCCAAAATTCGATTTAAAAAAAAACGATCCTATAAGATCAGATAGGATAAGATCAAAACTTATCGGGGGATTGCCTAACCTAGAGACGCTCCTAAATTATATTAAACCTTTTGTCTTTAATTGACGAAATACTCATTTTTCTAATTAATTTCGTTTTATATGCAAAAAATAATTATATTACTACAAATATCACATCAACAGAATCAAACCCTGCCTACCAAAAACCCATGACCGCTTTCACTATCCGACCCAAAGTATTGAACCCGTTTACTTCCTGCCCCTTGGACCAGCCCAGAAACCCGATTCTCCACAACATCCTTCAAAGCCCGTTTCAAGGGCCCAATGTCGTCCTCTTCACCACGCCACTGCATCACCACAACGCTCTTGGTCCGACCACCAACCGTCGTCATCTCAGCCCGAACCACCCTAGCCTGGACCGACCTGATCACCCGACTCAAATCCCCGTACAAACCTGGCCTATCGTCGCAGCAAACGTTCACCTTCAACAACATCCCTTCCTTATCACAAAAACTCAAATCGGCCTCGTCGCATTCCCCTGGAAACAGCCACGACTTGTCAAGCTCTGGTTGGCTGTTACTGCAGAAACCGTCACCGTCACCGTCACCGTCACCGTCACGTCGCCATACGTCTTCCACTTGCTTGTTTAGCTCCCTCACGTGATGGACAACCTCCGCTAGCAATGAAGCCTTGTCCGTCTGTCCAAAAACGAAAATGAATTACGTTAGTGTAAATAGAAGTATATATAAATATGTTTTTTTTTCTTTTGATAAGAACCTTGGTGGTGTTGGGGAGGAGAGAGCGGAGAGTGGACAAGTGGGCGTTAATACGCTGCCTGCGTCTCCTTTCAGCCTCCTTGTGACTCTTACAGACTTCTGTTGATTTTCTTTCTGATAAAGTCTTGATGGAATCGTCTCCCCCCTTTAAGTTGACATGGCTGTTGTCCTCAAACCCACAGAAACTTTTCACAGGAAACATTTTGTCCTTACGATATTAAGGTAAAAGAAGTAGAAGAATGGTCAAAACTAAATTAACTAGTAAGTGAGAATTGACCCGGTTGATAGTTTTGACTGCTAATTAACTTTGAAAATTTATTGATGGATGAATGACACGAAAACGATGAAAAGAGAAACGGAACGTTGGGGGCATGAGTCACGGCGGTGCCGACAGTAAGAAGACGAATCATGGAAATGATGATGCTGCCAACAGTGTATTCGCTTCACTGCTGCTTCACTTTCACACGCATTCCTTGCTTCTTCTCTTTTTTATTATCGTCGCTGGCTGCTGCTCTCACTGCATATATATATTGGTTACATCAACACGATATATCATTGTTATTATGATGATCAAAACCTGGTTCTTCTTCTTTGAAGCCATGTCTGATATCACTGTGTCAGTCAGTACGTACTAATTTCGTGTTTATATCTTAATTTGTAAAATCTTCTTTTTTGCATATATTGGTGACAAAAACAAAAAAAATGAAGAAGAGGGACAACCTGTAAAAATTGCATGTAACAGTGTTGGCTGGACCCCCACCAGATTCTGACACTGTAGAAACTAGAAAGGTGAGATCAACATCTGATGGCAGTGAGCCCGACAGCATTTGCATGGCGATTTCCTTTTGTTTTCCTACATATTAATGTTAGGAAAATGGGATCTAATCCCATGTAAGTGATTTTGGATCAAGTAAAGGTCATGGGTCTTGATCATTTATTTTACACAGAACCCTAGCTACTTAATAAAAAAGAGGTGGGGTTGTTTTAGGTGTGTGTCGAAAACCAAGCAGAGAAAGAAGAAAAGCCAGGAAAAGCAGAGAGAGAAAAAATAGAAGGGAGAGTTGGTTGAATGAAAGTCGATCCGTGATCCGATTAAGTTGAAACCTTGTCAGGAGGTTTATGATTCAGAGTTTTACATTCTGAACGGTGAGGATCGGGTTTGAAGCTCTCTAAGAACAAATTCAGGGTGTATTTGTTGAGTCACTTATTTAGTGAGATTTCTCCAATTGTTTCTCTAGTTGTTTAGCTCTAGTTTTAGCTAGAGAAGAACATTGTATAACTATTATTTGATAGTGAAAATTTTTCTGATGGCTCGTGATTTTTTCCCTTTACACTAGAGGGTTTTTCACGTAAATCTTAGTGTGCTTTATTTTTCCTGCATATTTGATTATTGATTGTTGTCTATTGCTTCTGTATTGTTGTGATTATTGCTTCAGGTGTAACAAGTGATATCAGAGCGAGGGTTATTTTAAGACATTGATACAGAAGCAACTTAGGATAGAAGTAAATTCTGTTTGGGATCATGGAGGGTGATACAAGTTTCATGATAAAATTGATAGCATCAAATTATTCAATTTGGAAGCCTATGATGGAGGATCATTATACTGTAAAGATTTGTATGAGCCAGTATTGGGTGATTCGACTAAACTAGCAGATATGAAAGATGAAAGTTGGAATAAGCTAGGTAAAAAGATGTTGGCTACAATTAAAAAATAGGTTGATATCAACGTATTTCATCATGTAGCGCAGGAGTCAGATGCTCACATTATTTGAGAAAAATTGACAGCATTGTATAAGAGAAAAATAGGTATGAATAAAGTTATGCTTGTTAAAAAGCTTGCAACTTTACAGTACAGGGATGGACGATCTATTACAGAGCACTTGAGTGATTTTTAATATATATTTAATCGGATGACTACTATGAAGCTTAAAATGGATGATGAAATGAAGGTATTATTTCTTTTGGGTTCATTGTCAGACAGTTGGAATACTCTAGTTGTGACTGTTCTTAATTCAGCTCCTGATTATAAGGTGACATTGGAGATGGCTAAGGACAGTATGCTTAATGAAGAAGCAAGGTGAAAAGATGTAGACCTTGAGAATCAAGCTCTGGTTACAGAGAACATGGGTAGAAACATCGACAGAGGTCAAGACCCAAAAGGTCGTGGTAAGTCTAAACATAGATCCAAGTCTAAAGGTAAAGTGAAGTGTTTCTATTGTGGTAAGGCAGGTCATATAAAATAAAACTGTAAAATCTTGAAGCAAGAGTGAAAAGATGAAAAAAGTAAGAGTTCAGATGATAGCAATGTTACAGCAGTGAATTTAAATAGTGATTCAGTTACTTTGATTTGTACACACGATGATTGTAATCATGTTAGTGATCTCGGCATTGAGTGGATAGTTGACACAGGAGCGACATATCATTGTGTTATTAAAAGAGAGTTGTTTACAACTTATAAAATAGGATACTTTGGTTGTATCAAGATGAGAAACAAGAGTGTGTCACAGATTGTTGAGATTAGTGATATTGTTGTACAAACTAGTACAGGCTACATGTTGACTTTGAGAGATGTCAGACATATTCCAGATATGAGAATGAACTTGCTTGCTATTAATATCCTTGATAAGGAGGGATATGAAAGCCGACAAAAGAATGGACAGTGGAAGCTTTTCAAATGATCTATAGTAGTTGCAAGGAGAAAATTATGCTGCACAATATATAAGACATGGATGTAATTGAACGGTAACCAGGTAAATACCGTTGAAAATGATGCTTCAGCAAACTTGTGGCACGGGAGGCTGGCATACATGAGTGAAAAAAAGTTATAAGTTTTAGCAAGACAGTCTCTCATTCCCTTGACCAAAGATATATCTCTCGATTCATGTGATTATTATTTATTTGGTAAGCATCATAGAGTTTCTTTTCGTAAAAGTTCTCAGAGAAAAGAAAATATATTGAAATTAATTTATTCTGACGTATGTGGTCCCATTGAGGTTGAGTCATTAGGTGGTAGCAGATATTTTGTTACTTTTATTGATGATGCTTCACGTAAGGCTTGGATATATATGTTGAAATACAAAAGTCAGATACTGTAGTATTTTTAAAAATTTCATGTCATGATTGAAAAGATGACAGGATTACCCTTGAAGTGTATTCAAACTGATAATGGTGAAGAATACACATCTAAAGGCTTTAAAGAGTATTGCTCAAAGCATGAGATCAGGCATGAGAGGACAGAACCTGGAATACAGTAGCATAATGTATAGCTGAAAGAATAAATCGCACCATTATGCAAAAAGTCAGATGTATATTGAGGATGACAAAATTACCAAAGTCATTTTGGGATAAAAGAGTCAACACAGCTTGTTATTTACTTAACAGGTCACCATCAGTTCCTTTGGGCTTTGACATTTCAAAAAAAGTGTGGACAAAAAAAGATACTTCATACTCTCATTTGAAAGTTTTTGGGTGTAAAGCATTCATGCATGTGTTGAAAGAGCAGAGATCAAAGCTTAATAATAAAGCCACACAATATATGTTTGTAGGATATGGTGATGAAGAATTTGGTTACAGAGTATGGGATCCAATAAAGAGAAAGACAGTTAGACGCAGAGATGTGGTCTTTCATGAAAAAGAAATCATAGAAGACCTTGAAAAAAATGAGAAGACTACACGAGTTATTGTTGAGTGTGATGTTTCAACACCGACAGGGATTTCATAGGAAAGAGCCACAGATGATGAAAATGAGCAAGAAACAGAACTTGAAGATATGAATGAGTCAGCCACAGTTGATGATGAGCCAGATGCTATTAGTTTTGAGCAGGGGAAGCAATCCTCTCTACCTGAGAGTGTTGAGCAGGGGGAGCTACCTTCGACATCAAGTGATGTAGAGTCTCAGCCCAGGAGATCTACTAGAGAGCGTAGGCCATCTACCAGGTATTCAAGTTCAGATTTTATTTTAGTTACTAGTGAAGGGGAACCAAAAAGCTTCCAAGATGTGTAGGTTACTCCGGATAAAGAGCACTAGTTAAAAGCAATGAAAGAAGAGATGAAGTCATTACGAAAGAATGGTATTTATGATCTTATTAAACTTCCAATAGGAAAGAGGCTATTAAAGAATAAATGGGTGTTCAAGTTGAAAAAAGATGGTGACAAACTAGTGAGGTACAAAGCTCGATTGATAGTAAAAGGTTTTTCTCAGAAAGCAGACATCGATTTTGATGAGATTTTTACTCCAGTTGTAAAAATGAGTTCTATTCGAGTGGTATTGAGATTGGCAGCTAGTTTGAATCTTGAACTTGAGCAACTTGATATTAAAACTGTATTTTTACATGATGATTTACAGGAGGACATTTATATGAATCAGCCTGAAGGTTTTGAAGTGAAAGAGAAAGAGCATTTAGTTTGTAAATTGAAAAAGAACTTGTATGGCTTGAAACAAGCTCCACGACAGTAGTACAAGAAGTTTTATTCTTTTATGGTGAGTCATAGCTATAAAAGAATAGCAACGAATTTTTGTGTGTATGTTAAACAATTTCATAATGGTAACTTCATTATCTTATTATTATATGTTTATGATATGTTAATTGTAGGACAAGATGCTAGTATGGTTTGTAGGTTGAAAGAATAATTGTCTAAATCTTTTGATATGAAAGATTTAAATCCAGTAAAGCAGATTCTTGGTATGGACATTATCCGGGATAAGAGAGCTGAAAAACTGTGGTTGTTACAAAAAAAATATGTTGAACGAGTGCTTGGTAGATTCAACATGCAACATGCTAAATCAGTTAGTAGTTCACTTGCTAACCATTGTCATCTAAGTAAGAAATCTTGTCTAATGTCTAAGAAAGAGCAACTAGCTATGTCTAGTATTCCTTATTCTTCTGCAGTCAATTCTTTAATGTATCTTATGATTTGTACAAGGCCTGACATTGCTCATGTAGTTAGTGTAATGAGCAGATTTCTTTCTAATTTAGGAAAGGTTCACTAGGAAGCAGTGAAATAAATTTTTAGATATTTGAGGGGTACCTCAAAAATATGCTTGACTTATGGAGTTTCACAACCAGTTCTAGAAGGGTTTACTGATGCTGACATACAAGCGATCTTGATAGTAGAAAATCTACTTCAAGATATTTATTCACTTTTACAGGAGGAGTTGTATCTTGGTAATCTAAGTTACAGAAGTGTGTTGCTTTGTCAACTACGAAGGTTGAGTATATTGCAGCAACCGAAGCATGTAAATAAATGTTTTGGATGAAACGTTTTCTTCTTGAATTGGGGTTGAATCAGAAAGAGTATGTGATATTTTGTGATAGCCAGAGTACTTTAGATTTGAGTAAGAATACCATGTACCATGCTAGAACAAAGCACTTTGATGTTAGATATCATTGGTTATATTCAGTGATTGAAGAACAACAGATGTTATTGAAGAAAGTCCATACTGATAAGAATATAACAGATATATTGACTAAGATACTTCTCAGAAAAAAGCTTGAGCTTTGCAATAACTTGATCGAAATGAGTTCCCTGGCCAAGGTAAGTTCCAAATAAAACTGCTATGGTGATAAATCTCCTCCTAATGGAGCTGGAGGGAGAGATTGTTAGGAAAATGAGGTCCAGTCTCATGTAAATGGTTTTGGACTAGGTAAAGGCCATGGGCCTTGATCATTTATTTTACACAGAACCCTAGATACTTAATAAAAAAGAGGTGGGGTTGTTTTAGGTGTGTGTCGAAAACCAAGCAGAAAAAGAAGAAAAATCAGGAAAAGCAGAGAGAGAAAAAAGATAAGGGAGAGTTGGTTGAATGGACGTCGATCCGTGGTCCGATTGAGTTGGAACCTTGTCAGGAGGTTTATGATTCAGAGTTCTACATTCTGAACGGTGAAGATCGGGTTTAAAGCTCTCTAAAAACAAATTCATGGTGTATTTGTTGAGTCACTTATTTGATGAGATTTTTCTAATTGTTTATCTAGTTGTTTAGCTCTAGTTTTAGCTAGAGAAGAATATTGTATAACTATTATTTGATAGTAAAATTTTTTTTTGATGACCCGTAATTTTTTTTCTCTACACTAGAAGATTTTTCACGTAAATTTTAATGTGTTTTATTTTTTTTTACGTATTTAATTATTGATTATTATTTATTATTTTTATATTGTTGTGATTATTGCAGACGCAACAATTAAACCCGCCGTGAACATGACATTTCATCGCTGCAATTGGCATGTTTCTGGGCCCAACTTGCGTCTCATGCTTGGTCGGCATCAATTAAAGTTCATTTTTTCCACCGACACTCGGTAACTAGAATTCACAAATGGAGAATAGGGTTTTAACAGTTCGCTAATGGAGCATAGGTTTTCTTTTCCTATATCTTATGTCTAAGGTTTTTTTAATACAATTAAAGATGTTTTTGTGTTTCTGTTTATTTATATAAAGTGATAGTAATGGCATTATATGGGAGAGAAGCTGCATGTATTTTGAGTTGTTAATGCATGCAACTTGAAAAAAGATTTAAATGAATTTTTTATTAAAAATAATTAAATCAAATTTTGAATAATAATTAATTAATATATTTTGATATATTTTTGAGATAAATATTTTTAATAAAAATATTAAAAAATTTATTATTAAATAAATATTAATTAAATCTAAATTATAAATAATATTTTTAATATTTTTAATATTTTTAATTTTGTTAATTTTTACATTATACTTATTAATTTATTAATTTATATTTTTTATTAAGTTTTTATTACATATTTTTCAAAAAATTTCACAAAAATCTCATTAAAAAAACTTAATATTGCCTTTATCATGTAACTTAATTTATAAGGAAAAATGACCGATTGCAGGCAAGTACTTGCTTCCATATTCCACTGCCAAAACCCTGAGCTGTGTGGGACCAAAGTCAGAAATGACTGTTTAACAAATTACACCGTACTTGGAATTACTTTCCTTCTTCTAAAACTAAAAGCTTTTAAGTTCAAAGTTACCGAAAGAAATGGAAATGAAAATGGCAAAGCAACCTACAAGTTTGCTCTTAAGACTTGTACTTGCTAAGGAATAAATTTTGGATGATAAAAAAAATTTTGAATTCAAATTTTGTTTAAAATCACTTATTAATTTTATCTTAAATATGTGATTTGTAATCACTTAATTTATACTATTTATAATCACTTAAATTATAAAATTTTATCATCGAAAAATTTACTTATTTCAGATTTTTTTTGTAAAATAAAAAAAAAAAGGGAAAAAAGCAAATGGCAAAGCAAGATGTAATGAGATGGGACATTGTTTCCCGTAGGCAGCAAAATGGAAGGTCCCTTTAAAGGCAAATGGAACTTCAAACAGCGTTCAAAATTCTGTATGTTCCAAAAGCTACCTGCATCTGTCATTTACGTGCAACCCAATGGTTCATATCACTTTTTCAACTTTGGCCCCTTTATAACTATTTTTTCACTTCCCCCTCCCCGGCTTCGCTCGAGCAAAGCAAAGGCGTGAGCAAAAGCACAAAAAGAAGAGACAGAAAACATGGAGACAAGAGTGAAAATGTGAAACATGAGAAAAAAGTTTGTCCTTAGAAGAGAGAGCATCTTTGTTTCCCCATTTTGCTTAGAGATTTTGCTATTTGTTTCTGCAACTATTTTAAAGAGCGCTCCAGCATCTGCAGCATAGTGGCATATCAGATGCATGTTAACTACTCTACTTTTCCTAGCAGTTGCATCCTGTATTAAGGTAGCATTTATCAGCAACCAGGTTTTACCAAATACAGCTTAAAATTAGAAGAATGTATGATGACAACTAAACTTAAAGGAGTTGATTCATCCGCCTGATTCTCTTTTACTTGATTTGATTCAATTTCTTCTTGCCTTAGGAAGTATCACCTCCTTTATTTGCTTCTAACAAGTAATAGCCAAGAAGTTAATTCAATAAACATGACATGAAAACATCGTTACCACACAAACTCGATTTGAATATGGCAATCCTATATATATAATGAAAGGTCTGAGAAACACAGCTCAGTGTGCGTATCTTCATAACATGCAGATTTCATCATGAATCTAGACTCTAGAGGGTAGTAGCTTTATGATTATTCTATAAAAGAAAGGGCATGCTTATCTTTTAAAGTTATCGACTCTTTTTTTAATTTGGCGGGAGAGCAAGGAGATAGATATCAGTCCTCTGAAGTCATAAGTTCCTAGACGGTTGTTATCAACCAAGAATTGCACAAATGTGAAGAAACACTAGCTAAGTTACATGGGACTACAACAGTACTAATTGAGGTGCCCAGAAGGTTTCACTTTAATCAAGTCAATCTCATTGCAATTCATGTGACAAAAATAAAAGCAATGCTTCAAAGGCTCTGTTGTTCGCTTCTACATTGTTCTTTCCGGATAACCAAGGCAATCCTAAAGCCATATCCAAAATGATGGGAGAACCATAAATTACAATCTTTAGGAGTAATTTGCTAACTATGACAAGCAGGTCTGCCCAAATAAGAATCTGCTTCAAAACGATCCAAAATGAAAGGGAAAAACGAGGTAGGGGAGAGAGGAAGAAACTTATTACCTGCTCCAAAGCTTTGCAAAAAATCTCTTACAAACTACCATTATTCTGTCCTAGAATATGTCAGTATAGAGACAGCATTTCAAGATAATCACTTTGAACGCAATAACCATGCAGTATAATAATGCACATGAGTGGTTGAACCACAAAGATGGAAGTACAGGATCAAAAATTTACCATTTTAAACTCAGAATAATATTTCATAAGGTCTGAACGTAAGCTGCAGGGGACATATAAGACACTTCAATCCTTGCATGGTTTTATCGACACATTTTAAATCCTTACAAGTTTATAAAACTCATAAAATCCATAACAAAGCTCTCTAAACTTTCCCTTTAAGAAAAACGACAGTTAAGAGAGGATAGAGAGAAATGACTACTCATAGCTCCATACAGCTGCACAGCAACTTCCCCCCTCTGATTTATTTCCTGGTTTACAGCTCGCACTAACACTGTTATCATCAACAACCTGACACAATATTGAGTAGAGAAATAAAATTCACAGAACTACATAATTGTGATCAAAAGGCTAATTAATTTCTAGAAGACCGGATAAATGAGTTGCAAAACCAACTAAGACCGCATTAAGCATACCAGTGCTGGCCACCAGGAGTTTCCGTGGAGTTGGACCCATATTAAATCTCCTAGTGACACCTTCCCTTCCAACTGCAAGGCAGCAGATTCCTCCTCATCATCATTGTTATCATGAATTTTGCTACCTGCAGTACTTTTACCTTTTGTTGCCTGTCTTTTTTGTGATTCACACATAATCTAGTTTCAAAAGCCAGTACATTTAAAGACATATCATACATGATCACAACTCCACCATCACAAATAACATCAGCAAAATTTGCCACGAAAAAGAAAAATCAGCATTAAAACGGATTTCTAAATAATATATATTCTTTTAACAGATTTCATTAATGGGTCGAGTAAAACCCCAAAAAAAAATAATAACTTCACTGCACATGACAGTCTTTACATATACACGACAGTTTACTCTGCACATTCAATTTCAACAGAGTTCAGAGAAATGTTGATTTAGAAAGAAAATGTTACCTCAACAAGGGTTAATGATGAATGTCATAAACCCAAATAATTAAATGATCAAAACTTTTAAGTGATTGTATATGCAAATCTAAATCTTGATAGACACTGGAAATGAGATTCCACCTTTACATTTTGTTTGGTTAGCATGAAAAGAAAAGAAAGTGAAATGAAAGAAAATTAAAGAATACATCTTTTCTGTCAACAAATGAAACTAAAACCCGACACCCAATGGCCCAAAAATTAATTACCTGGTTACCTGCCTGTGGAATTCACAGTCTAACTTTCACCTGCTACACCTATCTCTACTCATCAACTAAACAATAATTCACAGCAACACAAGGAAAGCTCCTTGGCTATTCAAACACTGCTGTTATAATTAACATTTCTGCAGTTTGTCATTAGAATCATGGAAGATGCACCAGTCCAACAATATAATTTAATCTATGAAATGAGGAATGAATCAATATCTCAATTGCAATATGAGAAACGTACACAAACAACCAGTACTGCTGCGTATGACAACAATTATGGTAGTGTTCTAAACCATCTCCTATTTCACAATTGCAGGGAAAAAGTTCCTGTCAACATCGGTGAATTTTAGCCATATTTTCCTAAAAGACAGAGGAAGATGAAAAGATCACCTTTAGTCCAAGAAACTGACTAGAAAATGCACCGATTCAATCAAATGCCAAGAAGTAAAATTGCTCAAAATCAATGGTGAAAGAATTTGCAGGCTTGACATTACTGCGTATATGATAATGTTACATAATCACCTATCTGCCAGTCAGTACATGAAAACAACCTATAATCTACAAACAAAATAATTAACAACAACTACAACAATACTAAAAAATTCCCCCAAACATAGCAAGTTTCAGCCTCATTTCTATCCTTCCTTCTCCATTCATCATAATCCTCGGTATCTGCCTCGAAAACTCCTGCATCACAGTCAGGTTCGTTCTAAACCAAAGCTAGGAAAACCATATTGCCTTACCTATAAAACCTCACAGTGGATTCTTCCTCGGCCTCCCTCTCTTCCTTGGGCCGGAATTGGACACATTCCCACCCGAAATCCCTGCCACATTATTCCTACTTTCTACCACCTTCTTCGTGGTGGTCTTAGGAGCAACCGCTGGCAGTGGCGTAGCTGGCACACTATCTCCATTTCTTTCACTCTCCTGCCGCAGTCTTGGAAACATAGGAGGCATCCAATTCGGAAACCCGGTCGGAGCTTTTCCTCCACCCTCCTGACCCCCAGACACAAACCCTAACGGGAAAAACGCCCAGCAACAATAATACGCTTCTTTTCCCGGAACCAACGGCGGCAAAGTCGGAATCAAAACCGCGTGAAAAGCTCTCTCACAATTCTGGCACCTTAAACAACAACCTTCGTAATCCCTTGGATACTCAAACAACCTATAACAGTATGGACATGCTGTCCAAAATGTTGACAATCTTAACCTTGGATTCTCGTTTTGCGTCTTCGAATTCGGCGTGCGATGTTGCACGCAATCCTGATATTGCCCTCTTCTCGTGACCGCTAAATTCCCGGCTTGATTCGAACGATCGCCGGCACTGCTTAAATCAATCCTCGTAAACAAGCTCAACTCTTTGTCGTAAAGAGATTTTTTCGAGCTGTTAGATAAAACGGCCCATGCATCGGCTACGAGCTTAAACGCGTGATCGGCGAAAGGAAACTTATTTTTGTCGGGGCGAAGAAGGAGAGCTAGGCGACGGTACTGTTTCTTGATGAGATCGTTGTCTTCGGATCGAAGATCCACTTGTAAGATGGAGTACCAATTGTGGTGGTTGTTTATTCTTTTTTCGGTGGCGAGGAGGACGTCGGCAACGGCTAGGATCTGATCTGACCCATCCAAAAGGGGTTCGTTTTCTTGGGCTAAGATTGCGAAGTCTCTTGAGCCATTGAAATCACGGTTTTGGAGAAGCTTCTCGGCGATTCCTAGAAGGCGTATGGCTTCAGCTCTGCTGCCGTTTTCCTCCATTTCCCACCGGTGAGGGTAAGGGCCTGTTCGGATGGTGAGAAACGATGGGATTTTCGATTTTGATAGAATTATACGTTGGAATTTCTACGACTAGATAGACGGAATTGGTGTTAGAGTTTGGCTTAAATTACAAAGAATTTTAGGTTTGTTGCAGTGGTAGGGCGGCTGTTTTTGATCTTTTTAAAGGAATCGTAGATTTTCAGACAAAAAAACCTTGAGTATGTCTTTGAAGTTTGAACTTTCCGTTGCGATTTTGGCCAAGTGAAACTGGCTCTGTCTGCCTGCCTGAGTTGAGACCCGGCACTCATTTTTTTATCTTACTAAGTTTTAGGACTCATTTGTATTTCACCGCATTTAAGATGTGATAGAATTTAACTCATCGGATTTTTAATTAAATTTAAATGTTAATTTTAGTAAGTTTTATTTAATATAAATTTTTTATTAAAATTTTTTAAATTATAATTATAATAATTTTTTAATCACAATTATAATAATATTATTATTATTTTTAATTTTATTGTTAATCTAAATAAATAATTTGAATTTTATCGAAAGTGCGATTTATGGTGGTGTCATTGAGTTTAATGTATCATTAATTAAATTTAAATATTAATTTTAATAAAATTTATTAAATATAAATATTTTATTAAAATATTTTTCAATCAAAATTATAATAAATTTTTTATTAAATTAATTATAATAATTTTTATTTTTTTAATCTAATTAAAATTAATTTCATTTTCTATCCAAATAAAATCTAAATCAACTGACCATTTTTGGAGAAAATTTATTCAGGTTTATTTGAATTACCTTTTCCATTTTTTTAGTATGAAAGGATTATTCAAAATTTATTTATTTTGAAATGCTACAAATTGCTCACAGGACCCCAAAAAATATTTAATTCCCTTATATGTATCCTTGATTAAAAAAAGTTGAATTTGAATATTTTCTCTAGAAATTGTACCTTTGATTAAGATAAATTAATAATGAAAATTATTCACTTCTACTATCATTGATAGGAAAAAAAATTTTAAAAAAAATAAAGTTATTTCTTCCCCATATTTGATATAAAAAGATGAAAAATAAAAGAAAAAAAACATTATTTGTCGTACTTGCAAAAGCTCGGCCCAGACCCATAAATAATGTCTCGACCATTTCATTTTTCAAGGCTGGGGCAGATTTGGATACATGGTTAAGTTGGGCCTGACCCATAAACATCTTTAACCATCCATTTTTTTGTGAATTTGTTTCTCGAACGATCTTAAATACACTCTTTTGCATCAATTTAAGGAAGATGATGAACTATTTTATGGATCATAGCATACAACATTGCTTTGATCATTTTGAAATTTTGGTTTACTAGTTATGAGGAGCATTAACAATGCCTTTGGTTACAGGCAAAAACAAATTCATGATGCCAAGGTAGCTCAACAATTATAATATGCACAAGTCCATGTAGTTTTTGAAAAATGGTATGTCCATGGAGAGTCTTTTTGGCTAATATTATGTCGTATAATCTTTTCATCTTTTAAAATTATGTCAAATGTTCAAAGAGAGAGGATGGGATGCATTAATTTCGTATAAAATAAAAAATACAGGTCATTAAATATATAAATATTGGTGTTACGCGTTTTAATAAATTATTTTATAAAAAATATATATATTAATATGTGACAAATGATATTAAAATTAATTTTTGACTCGTCTCATTTCATGTCAAGCGTCTTAGTGATGGTATACAAGGTAAGTCAATGAAATTAAACAAAAAAAAAAAATTCATACCAAACATTAAAGGAGATTAGACAATATTCATTAACCTTACATCAAATAAGAGAAAATTACTCGACATGTATATAAACAATGATGTTGCATATTTTGTAAAGAGAGAACAATAACAATGTGACAAGAGTTTTTTTTTTTTTCAAATTAAAAAAAAAAACTAATTTGGGTATTATTAAAAATTTCAGTTTTATATTATAATTAAAAAATTAAAGATAAATTTAACGCATCGAATGATTCATAAAATATAAAAGATTAGATTAAAAATTATGCATAGAAGATATACTTTTGGTACAAACTTATTTTTTAATAAATATAATATTTTAAAATACAATATAAAAATTATATAAATAAAAAATATAAAAATAATATGATTTAAAAATTTTAAAAAATTATAAATAGATTAAATAAAATTAAAAAATTATATTTTATATTTTTATGTTGACATAAATTATAACATGTAATTTTTATGTAAAATATAATATAAATATAATATTTTATATGATATGATGATGTAAATTATTAAATTTATTTTTTTAAAAATAAAGTAATTTAATTTGTAGTACTGTATTAATTTCAAAGCATTTATTTCGCACGTGAGCTTTTAAGTTTTGCATGGGTCAACTTCAGTTTTCGACTTTTTCTCGTGCTCCGGTAGCGCGTGAGCGCGATGGAAAAGGAGAAACCTTTTTCCAATTTCAAACAAACAGCCTTTACCACTTGCCAAAAAAATTTATTGGATGGAAAAAAATAATAAAGTTCAAATAAACAATTTAATTTATTGAAATTTCAAACAAGTCTCTTGGGACCACAGAAATTTCCAAATAAAAAACCTCAATAAAAAACTCCCTTGACTATTGAATTGACTTGTTTCATGTGATTTTGCCATATAAAAAATTAAGCAAATGAAATAATGAAAGATATGGAAACCTGAATCCAACATTGAGAATTACAAAAAAGGAAACAAAATTCACATGAAGGCTGGAAGGCTTTAACGTCTCTTGGTAGTAAGGATGTTTATTCTATTAATTCGATTAATTTTGAATTAAATTATTTAAAATTAAATTAATTAAATTATTTTATTAATCAAATTTAATTTATAAATTTAAAAATTAATCAATTAAATTAAATTAAATTTATTCAATTAATTATTTTAATTAATCAATTAATAAATATATTTAAATTAAATTATATTGTAAACTTTTAATTTATTATATTTTAAATAAATTAAGTAAAATTATCCTACTAAATATTTAAATATCAAAGTAATACATTAAAAATTTTAACAACTTATGAAATTAAATGATTCATTTTATATATAGATTATATTTTATTTTTGTTAAAATTTGATTAATTTGATTAATTTGATTCAAAAATTAAATTAATTAAAAATTAAAATTATTTTTATTAATTGATTAAAATTAATTCAACGAGCTATCAATTATTTAAATTAAATTAATTTGATCTATTAATTTGATTAAAATCGAATTATGAACATTTTTATTTAACAATGAAAAATTAAAACTTATTTGAGAGTATAATAAGAAATATTTTCATCACTTTTTATTATAGTTTGACGATCAAACTTTTAAAAAGTTAATTATAATGCAATAAAACTTATTCCAATCACACCATCAAATAAACCCTATTCCTTGGTGTGAAAATGCGTGAAGTCTTCAGTTTCGCAATGAGGGGCCTCGACGGTACCCCAGCAATGGCCGAGCCAAGCAATTTATGCTCCCCTTCATAGTGCCGTTGCACATGCCGCGCATCTCCGTCGTGTTCCCCAGTCTATTCGTAAACAGTGTAAACGCGATCATCTGCCTCAGCCATCCAAAGTGTTTGTCGAAACGCAAACAACATTTTTGGCCAAAAGAAAAGAATGATTTGATTCGTCCTCAGCCATCCAAAACTGCCGTCGGCCTGCGACATTCCAATATTCCATCCTATCACACTCATTTTTATTGGAGGCATTATAGTTTCAAGTTCAACCTTATTTAGTTACCTCTGAATAAAATAATTTCGTGTATTATTGATGAATTATTAATTCAATGATATTAAATTCGTTTTTAGAATTTGTTAGAATTATTTAAAAGTCAAAAAAATATGTTGATCTCTTTTTTATTAGAGATTTTTTATACATAATTTACGGTATTTTAGGTATTTGTTTCGAATTTAATTTTATATCAAATTTATTACATTATTATTATTTTTAGTTAATTTTTTATTTTTTATCTATAAATATAGATATCAAAATATTTTTAAGATAAGTCATCTCTAATCTAAATTCTCTATCCAGCTTTTTTTAAAAAAATTTTTACGTACATATCAAAGTGTAAATGTAAAAAATATTTTTTATCATAATTTTTAATTATTTTTCTTTCATATCCTTTTAAGAAACTGTTATTTCGAAATTCGACGCAAAAAATTAAAGATTTTAAACTTAAACTTCAATAGTAATATAAAAATTTTAAAAAATTTTATATTTTTTTATTTAAAAAACTGGATTTTATTTTTTATTTTAAAAGAAGAGGGTGAAATACATTCTGTTGAATCAAGACTAGCACATATTGTTTGAACAAAAACTGCTGTCGATTTCACATATCTCGGTTCTTTAATTCGTCGGCAAAACTTTTTAAACTTTCAACATGTATTAAATAATCTTATAATTTTTTTATAAGAAAGGTAAGTAACTGTTCAAAGTTGCAAAAGGAAATAAAAAGTGATAGAAGGAGGAATCAATTGATTGGGAAGTGATGCAGTGACGTGCCATTGGGTATAGGAATAGCAGAAACAAAGTAGGGTTATATTTAACGCTATCCATTGTACGAAAAGCGATAGACCACATAAAATAAAGAAAAGAGGTTTGATAAAAATTGAAATGAAGTCACTTCATTTGGTTTTTGATGCCATCATCTATGATCGAAGCCCTGATTTTGGCTTTCCTCCCTCTCTCTCTCTCTCTCTCTCTCACTCTCTCTCACACGCCCACACAAACGAATTTCTTTTCAACCTTTTTAGGCAAAAACTCACAGACTGAATATAGTGTTGAAGAGTCTGCCTTCATCTATAAAAGGAAGGCAAATCGGTAAACCTTTCCCTTCTTGAACCAGCAAATATTCACAAACAAAGCCTCTCTCTCTTTTTCTGTTCTTTCTCTTATGGTTTAACTTTCTGCAATTGTGAGGCTTTTGGTTTCTGTGAGCTGACCTAACTTGCAGCTTCTGAACAAATCCCACAGTTCCTCAATAGGGTAAAACTAATGAAAAATAACCCACCAATCTTAGATCCTTTGTGTTTTTTGTGCATGTCCATGAGCTAAGATTGGTGGGTTTTTGTCACTTTTTCTTGTTTTGTTCACCTGGATCTGGACTTGGGGTCTTCCACTAGGGTTTCAGCCAAAAATTCATCAAAGACCTTAGCACAAAAAGTCAAGAAAACCCCCTAATTCTTTTTAAGTCATTTTATGTACTAGTATAGTAGTAGTATTTGTCTTTCTATGTGTGGTAAAATGTGGAACTTTTATTTTATTTTTTTGGTTTTGATCTTATGTTATGGAAGGTAGTAGAAATGGCCAGAGAGAAGATCAAGATCAAGAAGATTGACAACGTGACGGCCAGGCAAGTGACTTTCTCTAAGAGAAGGAGAGGGCTTTTCAAGAAAGCACAAGAGCTTTCAGTTATGTGTGATGCTGAGGTTGCTCTCATCATTTTCTCGGCTACTGGCAAGCTGTTTGAGTTTGCTAGCTCCAGGTATTTTTAATAAACCGTCTTTTCTTTGGAAAAAAATGGCTTTTGTATATCACCAATGCATCACTTCTCTGATCTCTCTTTCAGTATTCCTGCTCTTCTTTTATTTTGCGTGTACTTATATGAGGAAGGGCAAGAGGACCTGGCAGCTAGATTCTATTGCTCTCAGGTTTTAGATCGTACGACTGATCTTTCAAAACAAGAATGATCAACCCTTTGAAGAAAAAAGGAAAGTCTTCAAGGGCCAGAAAGAAACCTGGCTATCTCAAGCTAGTGCCTGGGTTTATGATTATGGTTTACCGAAAGCTCTTAGGGTGAGTCTTTTCAAGGAAAGATCTTGAGGAAATGAGAAATTACAAACCCTTAAGGATCATCTTTCTGTTGTTGATTTTCCATAGATCATGGATGCCAAACTCTCTTCTAAGACTTTTTAACTTATTTGTAGGAAGAAAAAATTGACTAAAACTAGTTTTTTCTTTCTTTTCTAATTGAAGACGTACCCTTTTTCATACTAATTTTTATTTTATTGCACGACATTATTAGATACTAACATATAGTACAATTAATTGTACTATATGTTCTCTCTTCTGCATAAAATATAATTTCTCAAGCCCCAAAAAATCTACTCCTCGTGTTGGTAAAGATTGGTGGACTTTAAGAAAGATGATTCGTGTTTAAATTTATTTAGTTCATATCTTTCTTGGATAATTTTGGTACCTTGCTTTTGATCATCCTTATGCCCTTCGGTTACCGAGTCTTGGGGCAAGAGATCTTAGGTATTGCATGGTATATGTTGAGAATCTTCGGTGGCACATATAGCTACCTAGAGAATATATCCCTTTTAAAATTTACATGTACAAAAATTTATTGTTCCATTTCTGATAGCTGTGGAAGATGACTTGTTAGTATCAAAGGTTTCCTTCAAATTTTTTTTTCAAATTTGTTTTTTGGTATCCAAATGTTAATTCCATGCCATAAAACCTTATTAATGGCATTGTCTACTATTATCTTATATGAAGATGGTCTGAGATTGACCAAGTTTGAGTTTGAAGACAAGCCTTGCTATAGTGAAAAGTCTTAGGAAATATGAGACTCATTCATATATATATATATATATATATATATATATATATAAGGTATAGCTAAGCTAAGCTGTTTTTGCTCTTTCTTTGTCCATCAACTATGAAATTCCAAGACTAACAAGTGCGTAAAACCATATTTTCTCTTTCTTTTGTCTTTAATAGGTGTTGTACTTCTTATTTATAAAAGCTTGAATGGTGTTTGAAAGCAAGGGGTTATTGAGTCAAACAAGAGGCTGTAACAATATGACTATGACTATGACTGTCAGCCATACAAACTTGAGCTAAATGATTAGTTGTTTATAGATAAAGTATATCAGATGAGCTAATTAAGAAGAATATGTAACAGAATAAGTATAACTGATGTCGGGCCGGAACAAGAGAGGAATGCTAGTCGTTGGAGGGAGAAAAGACATTACTAATGCTGTAATGCAAAGGGATGATTTAGAAGATGAAATAAATGAAGGTAGTTGGATGCCTTGTGTTGAATGCAACCTGAAACAGTAGTGCAACAAGACTAAGGCAATCATGATAAAAAAGGATTGGGAGAGACTATGAGGTTTTATGTGAATATATAACTAATAATGAATGAGTATTCAATGAACTAGTGGAATACACTATATATCATAAATAGCTTATATTACAATGCTAGGTGATCATGGCCTTCTAGGTTGAAATAGTTAATTGATGGTGTAGACATCTTAATTTGTTTGGGGTTGTAATTGTTTAATTTATTTTTATTAAATAAATAAATAATGAAAAAGAAAAATCAAGTGGTTTAGTTTATATGAACTGTTTGTTTGGATCGTAAAGTTAGAGTTGAACTTAAAGTTTGAAAGGAGAATTAAAGGAAAATTGAAACTTTGTTTGATATAGAGTTCTCTTTATTTGAATCTTATAAATACAAACCCAAAATAAGTAGTAGAACACATAGAGAGATAGCAAAAAGAAAAGGCATATTTAGAAATTAGAAAAGAAAGTAGTGATTTTTTTTGAAGAGTTTTTTCTGGAAAAATATGAAAATTTCAAATTTCGACGGACTTTTTCAGTTTTCAATGAAGATTTTGACAAAGTTTGAACTTTTTGGTAAGTTTTTCAAAATCTGATTAAAAATTTTGATGAAGATTGAATTTTTCGATGGTATTTTGGCAAAAAAATCCAAAAATCAATGAAGATACCTTGTTTCTGGTGACCAATTCTAGAAATCGGTGAATGTGCATTTGGTTGTTTATAGGTTGTAGATAGAGAGACAGAAAAAAATAAGTAAAGAGAAAATGTATGAGGATTTTGAGGAACAGAAGAATTTTGGCCTTTTTATACGTCTACCCAAATGTCGTTTTTTGCATATAAGTTTTTATAGGATTTGTGTTTTTTCTCGTGCCTAACCCACGCCCCACATGTGACTTGGTTCGCAACTGGCAAAGTTGAGCAGAGTCTCTAGTTGAGTCGAGTACTAGCTGAGCCATTTCAATCGTTTATTTGTTCCTTTAGTCGAGCCTTCTAGTCATTAAAGTCGAGCTGGCTCTTGTTTTGGTATTTTTTATTTTATTTATTTACTTTTAAAGTACTTTTATATGATTAAATTTTAAAAAAATTAAAGAAGAAAAATAATATAAAACAAAATAAAACATTAATAATTTTTTTAAATAAATACTAATTATCCAATGATAAAATTTTTAAAAATTGTAAAAAGTTAATTTTTATACAATTCTTATGTGAGAATTTTTTAAATTTAACTTAAATGGAAGAGAATTTGGATAAAGTTTCAATAATAATAATAATAATTTTTTTAATTTAAAAAAACACAAATTTAAATAAAATTTTAGAATTAAAATATTAATTACTCAATGATAAGATTCTTAGAAATTATCCTCAAGCCTTTAGTCTAGTGGTTAAAGGCGCTCGAGAAGATATCAAAGGGCTAGTTTTGAACTAAGCCTCTCTCTTTCCCCTTACTTGTGCTAGGGTTTTGCCCTCCTGATGTAACCAAAAAAAGATTCTTAAAAATTTCAAATAGCAAATTTTTTAAAATATTTAGTGAGGAATTTCTTTAAATTTTATTCAAATTATGAAATAATTTAGATGAAATTTTAATAAAAGTAATTGTATTCTTATCTAAATAATAGTTAAAAATAATAAAATTATAACAAATATAACTTAAAAATGTGGAGAAAAATATTTGACAATTATCCAAGGATGAGAATTTTAAAAATTTCAAATGATAAATTTTTTAATAAATTTTGAGGTGAGAAATTTTTTTAAATTCAACCAAAATGGTGGAAGAATTTAAATGAGACTTCAAAAAATAATTGTCATATTATTTTTTCTAAGGATTAGAAAATTAACAATAGTTTAAATTCTAAATTAACTCAAATTGTGAAAATTTTAAAAATAAAACTTGTAAAAACTTTTCTAAATACACCTAAATGGTGAAAAAAATTTAAAAATAAAAATAAAATTGTAAAATAAATTTCAAGGATGAAATTTTTAGTAATCATAAATGAATGGTTATCTAAAAAATTTTTAGATGAGAAAATATTTTTAATTTAGGCCTAAATGGTGGAAGAATTAGATATATTTTTGACAAACAAAAATTGATTAAGTTTTTTGGACGACGAAACCTTTTCAAGAAAATAAATGAAATTCTTGAATACTCTTGAGGTGATGAAGTAATTTTAAGAATTCTTTTTAGATTGATGGAGAAATCTTAGAAGTTATTTTCAATATTTAAATATTAAAATAAAAATTATTAAAACCAAGATAATTGTTAGAATAATTCAAAATTAAATGGTATCATCTTAGGATGGATGTTGTAAAGGTGCTATAATATTTTTTACACATAATCAAACTCTCAAACTTAGTTTTGTTTAGAAAGTCAGAACCTATTCTTTAAGGACCCTTAGTCAAGTTTACGAGTTCTTTAAAAGAATAGATTCATTAGGTGATTTATCACACCTTAAAAAAAGATTGGTGACGACAGTTCAGTTATAGATTTTTGGATTTATATGTTATAATAGTTTGACAACTCCACTGGAGATTCTGAGAGTTAGCTATTAATTAATTTTGAATTTTTCTAATTTTTGTTTTGCTTGGTTTTAAATTATTTATTTATTTTATTCTTTGACTTGGCATGTGAAAATGGCGAATAATGATATATGTATTTTTTCATGTTCATGATCATATGCATATGCATCACATGAGCTCTATACCTAAGCTTTTTCCTTCATAAGAGGGAATAAAATACTTACGCTCTCGTGAGATAATAATCTCTGTAATGATAATGAAATATTTTTATTCAATTTGAATCATTTTCATTTATAGCCTATGATGGGCGAGGATTTGACTCTCTTAGTAGTTTGTGATGGATAATGATGTGAGAACAATTTAAAAACTTTTAGATTTAACCCAAACCACGTATAAAAATACATAAGAAGCCAATCTTAGGTTAGAGCTATATCTACCCATCACTAAAATATAACCTTAATTAAGACATATGAGTGGACTTTTTGAGCTTCATGATAAATGTTGATTAAGCTATTGTATGTTAAGTGTTGTATTTTATTCCAGCATCACTAACGTATGTTTTTATCCATGCATATGATGTGACACGTCAGTACATGTATTCATACATTGTTTATGCGTTTATTCATTCATACATATAGGATTTTTAAAAAAGGTTAGATTAATAACATTAACATACTAATCAAGGTATACAAGGTTCAAATATAGCTCCACCGTCTAAGAATCTAGTTCAACCATTCACCATCAGTATAATACCAGAATCAGAGCTATACAAATGGAATAGAAAAATGCTAATCGTTTTGAGAAGATAAAGAAAGCCCAAGAGAAGCTTGAAGAGGAGTTGGATAAGATTCTAAAAGCTTTGAATAAATTAAATACGAAAAATAGTGTAGAAGAAGACGT